AAGATCTCAAAGCAGACCAGAAATTGGTTTCTCAAGTCATAGAAAACATGGCCATCAAGTGGCTATCATTTCTTAATAACGCTTGCTAAAATAAACTCAAAGCAATTTAAGTTTATCATTGGTTTAGCCTATTCTTTACTTTGTAACAAACAATCAGCTCTGAGTCAGTTATTACTGCCTACTACTTTATCTTTAAGCATTTATCAATATACTGAAGAGTGAGAGTAAAAAGAGACAAAGAATTTCCACAGAACATTTTTATTTAGACCTATGAATTAAGAGTTTAAAAGTATTGTACCAAAACAACCAATCAACCTCTGTCTTCTGAATTTTAACATGCCACCATGCCATGTTAAGGAAACACACAGTCTTAAGGTCCATTATGTCTAGAATGGAAATATACAGTATCCTGTATATCTATAAATGAAGGTTTAAATATGTTTTCTCACCTTTTGGAAATGTTGGTCATCAAAAGAGATTTTAGCTGTTCCAGACTGTCGGACCCCTGAGCCATAATCAGGAGCTTCCTCATCAGCTACAACAAAGAAATAACATTGGGTCATATGCATATATTTACAGTCTAATAATGTATCTTGTTGTATTCAATATTTTACAAATATAACAAAAATATGTTATCAAAAAATGTGAGTTCACATATTTCTAGTCTATCAAAGGCTAACTTTTCCCACAAGAGGAATCTTCAGCAATATAAGTGAACATATGTCCACAGAAAATTGTAAAATGTAATGTTCCTGCAATGTAATGTAATTCAGCAATCTGCATAAATAATTGCTGGATTGTAAAAGACTCTTCTTGTAAGAATGCAGTGAAACAGAGGTTATCTAGTTATTTTTTATCATTAGGCAATAATAAAATGTTCAAGATTCCCACAATATATACCAGTGCAATCCATATGGGTGCACAGTGTTGATGTCCCCAGGGGCGGACTGTCAACTCATGGGGCCCCCGGGCAATAGGGGATCATGGGGCCCCTGTGTCCTTGCCAAAACTCAAAAAAGCCTATGAAAAAGGTACCAGGGGCATCTCATGGGGCCCCCTACTGACCCCGGGCCCTCGGGCAGTGCCCAAGTTTCCAAATGGTCAGTCCGCCCCTGGATGTCCCTTAACAGTTTGTGCATTTTGGAACAGCGTAATAAGTAATTACATTTCATCCATGCTGGGGCCATACATTTAAGAACATACAGCTGTCACAGTATGGCAAGGGCATATATATAAATTATGCAGAGCTCTGTCCTGTCAGCTGAGATGTTATGGATTTTGTTTCCCTGCAAAGCAGGGAATAAAATCCAGCACATCCCTTAGTAAAAGCACCTGAAAGTTAACACAAAAACACTGCTTAGGCACACACATTTATTCCTTTGATCGCCCTAGATGTTTAACCCCTTTCCAGCCAATGTCACTAGTACAGTGACAGTGCATATTTTTAGTGCATATTTTTTATCACTGTATTAGTGTCACTGGATCCCACAAAGTGTCAATTAGTGTCAGTTAGTTTCAGATTGTCCACTCCAATATCGCAGTCCAGCTGTAAGTTGCTGGTCACTGCCATTACCAGTATAAAAAAATTAAATAAATAAAAATTCCAGTATACATGGGAAAGTTTGTAGATGCTATAACTTTTGAGCAAACCAATCAATATATATTTATTGGAATTTTTTTTACCAAACATATGTAGCGGAATGCATATTGGCCTAAATTTATGAAGAAATTTGATTTTTAAGATTTTTTTCTACTGGATATGTTTTATAGCAGAAAGTTAAAAAAAATGTTCTCACAATTGTCAGTATGTTTTTGTTTATTGTGCAAAAAATAAAAACCCAGTATTGATCAAATACCACCTAAAGAAAGCTCTATTTGTGGGAAAAAAAAATGACATAAATGTAATTTATGCACAGCGTTGCAATACCACGCAACTGTCAGTTAAATTAACACAGTGTTGTATAGCAAAAAAAAGGCATGGTCGTGGAGGAAGGGAAAATCTTCTGGAGGTCAAGTGGGTAAAGTGATTATATGCAAAATATTATTTTTTACCACTGAATGCTATTTTCTCACATAAAAGGTAGAGAAATGAGAGAGAGCTGGATCTGCTCCTCTTCCTCTTCCCGCCCCTCTCCTCTTGTGTGTGCCTGCAGCCCCGCTCACTCTCCTGCCTCTGAGTACAGTAATGTAAGGGGGCCTCAGATGTAAGGGGTTCTGTGCGGACTGAATGTAAGTGGGGGCTTTGGTGAGCAGAGACCCCCTTGCATCAGAATTCCTTTTTACACCAAAGTCCACATCATTCCCCCTTACTTCAGATACCCGCCCTCATAAATCAAGCTTCCCAGAGCAACTTTACATCAAAATTCCCCTTTACATTAGAGTCCTCAGAGCTCCCCCTTTACAGTGAAATTCTGCACACTCTGATGTAAGGGGGGCTCTACAAACTGATATAAGGGGGTGCTCTCTGGACTCTGAGAACCCTGATTAAAGAGGAATGCTGGGAACTACGATGTGGGGTTCTGGTTACCAGAGACCCCGATATATCAGAGTTATCCTTTACACCAGAGTCTGCAGTGTCCCCCCTACATTAGAGTCCCTCTTTACATCAGAGTCCTCAGTGTTCCCCCTTCAATCAGAGTCCCCAGAGTTCTCTCTTACATAAAAGTCTGCAGAGTTCCCTCTTACAGTGTGTGGGAACTCTTCGAGTTCAGATGTAAAGGGGAACTATGCTATTTCAGATGTAAAGGGGGAACTCTGTGGAATATGTATATATATATATATATATATATATATATATATATATATATATATATATATATACAGTGAGGAACAGAAGTATTTGAACACCCTGTGATTTTGCAAGTTCTCCCACTTAGAAATCATGGAGGGGTCTGAAATTCACATTGTAGGTGCATTCCCACTCTGAGAGACAAAATTTAAAAAAAATCAGGAAATCACATTGTATGATTTTTAAAGAATTTATTTGTCTTGCAATGCTGAACATAAGTATTTGAACACCTAAGAAACAGCAAGAATTCTGGCTCTCAAAAACCTGTTACTGTGCCTTTAAAAAGTCCCCCTCTACTCCACTCATTAATCTAACTTCGTAGCACCTGTATGAGCTCTTTAAAGACACCTGTCCACCCCACAGTCAGTCAGACGCCAACTACTACCATGGGCAAGCCAAAGAGCTGTCAAAAGACACCAGAGACAAAATTGTGGACCTCCACAAGGCTGGAAAGGGCTACGGGGCAATTGCCAAGCAGCTTGGTGAAAATAGATCAACTGTTGGAGCAATTGTTAGAAAATGGAAGAGGCTAAAGACGACTGTCAGTCTCCCTCGGACTGGGGCTCCATGCAAGATCTCACCTCGTGGGGTATCACTGATGATAAGAAAGGTGAGGAATCAGCCCAGAACTACAAGGGAGGAGCTGGTCAATGACATGAAAAGAGCTGGGACCACAGTTTCAAAGGTCACTGTCGGTAGAGAACACTACACCATCATGGTTTCAAATCATGCATTACACGGAAGGTTCCCCTGCTCAAGTCATCACATGTCCAGGCCCATCTGAAGTTTGCCATTGACCATCTGGATGATCCAGAGGAGGCATGGGAGAAAGTCATGTGGTCAGATGAGACCAAAGTAGAACTTTTTGGTCTAAACTTCACTCGTCGTGTTTGGAGGAAAAAGAAGGATGAGTTGCATCCCAAGAACACCATCCCTACTGTGAAACATGGGGGTGGTAACATCATGCTTTGGGGGTGCTTTTCTGTGAAGGGGACAGGACGACTGCACTGGTATTAAGGAGAGGATGAATGGGGCCATTTATTGTGAGATTTTCAGCAACAACCTCCTTCCCTCAGTCAGAGCATTGAAGATGGGTCATGGCTGGGTCTTCCAACATGACAACGACCCGAAGCACACAGCCAGGATAACCAAGGAGTGGCTCCGTAAGAAGCATATCAAGGTTCTGGAGTGGCCTAGCCAGTCTCCAGACCTAAATCCAGTAGAACATCTTTGGAGGGAGCTGAAACTCCATGTTGCTCAGCGACAGCCCCGAAACCTGACAGATCTAGAGGAGATCTGTGTGGAGGAGTGGGCCAAAATCCCTGTTGCAGTGTGTGCAAACCTGGTTAAGAACTACAGGAAACGTTTGACCTCTGTAATTGCAAACAAAGGCTTCTGTACCAAATATTAACACTGATTTTCTCAGGTGTTCAAATACTTATGTTCAGCAGTGCAAGACAAATAAATTCTTTAAAAATCATACAATGTGATTTCCTGAAATTGTTTTTAAAATTCTGTCTCTCAGAGTGGGAATGCACCTACAATGTGAATTTCAGACCCCTCCATGATTTCTAAGTGGGAGAACTTGCAAAATCGCAGGGTGTTTCAAATACTTCTGTTCCTCACTGTATATATATATAGTGTATACCACAAGAAAAAAATTGCTGTGTGCCGCTAAAGTGTTCGGGTTTGGCTTGAAGAAGAAAAGAAGAAAAGGTGGCAACCCTACCCAAGAAGGTAGGAAGGAAGTCTGCTGCAGAACATGTGAAAGGGTCCCACTGTGGGACCATAATAAAGGGTCGTGCAATGGGAGTAAAGGGTCCTGGGATCAGTGTGAAGGGCCTAGGGCTCAGAGAGAAGGGCCCCGGGACCAGAGGTCAGGGGGGGCTCTTCATGGTTTCTTGCATTGGGGCCCTGAAGGTTCTAGTTACGCCTCTGCCCTGAATCAACACAAAAATGAAAATGTATGTATTGCACATATGGACGTACTTTACAGATGCATGTTTGGATATGTACTAATATGATTATTTAGCAATAATAGTAGCTGTGTGCAACTGATTGTATTGAAGCATTACATTAAATTAAATTAAAGGTAGCCATACATGCAAGCCTACAGGTAGGCATAAATAATGGAAAACATCTCACCAGAAATGGCCTGAACAGCAACTCGAAGGAATCCTTTTACTTCCCCTTTCTCACTGACAATAGCGACTCGGTGGACCAGGGGCACGGAATACAGCAAGTTGCTCAGATAGACAAATGCCCTGCAGAGGGGGAGATAGGTTACAGGGGGAGAGATAGGGACAGAAAAAGAAGAGTGGAGGGAAGTGTAATGAGAACAGGTGTGAGTGGTACAGTGAATTGATAGAAGAAATGAAGAATGTATTGGAAGTTGAGAACACAAATAAATGAAAAACAGATTTGTGAAGGAAAAGAATAGGGGGGATGAAAGAAGGTAAAGAAAAACAAGAGAGAATAGGTCAGGACACACACAGCAATATTTTAGTTGGAGGGGCACAGCTCACACCACAACAAGAGCTGCCAAGCCAAAGAAAACATATGTGGGTGGTCAGCCACGAGCAGCCGAGGAGTGAGTGGGTCAGCCACAGCAAGGGGGCAAGGGATAATGGGATGGAGAAACAAACTGGGTGGAGAACAAGGGAAAGAACTGTGAAGGTGAGGGAGGGTTGGAGGCAGTGAGGAGGGCCAGCTGGTGGACCCTGGTGTTCTGTGTGAAGGAAAAGGCCAGCAGCAGAGCAATAAAGGTGTATGGGTGTGCCGGCCAAAACCTGAAACAAATCAAATGAAAATAGAACAAGGCAAAAAGAAACAGAGAAACAGAGAAGGAGCCAGCTCTTTCCTCGTACCGGTGGAAAAAAGAATCCTCACAATCCTACCAAACCATACTGTTTGGTAGATTAATGTGTAAAGTTAAATATTCTAAAGATAACTTTGACCTTGCACTACCCACCAAGAAAAAAATAATAAACCTGAAATATAATTTTGGCACCTTAAGAAAACAGGCAGCTACAGATGTTTACTATGCATGTGTTCAAGCATTTCAGATAATGAATGAACATGCTATGCAGTACAGACTTGCAATCAGGGGCGGACTGACCATTTGGAAACTCGAGCACTGCCTGAGGGCCCAGGGTCAGTAGGGGGCCCCATAAGATGCCCCTGGTACCTTGTTCATAGGCTTTTTTTGAGTTTGGGCAAGGACACAGGGGCTCCATAATCCCCTATTGCCTGGGGGGCCCCATGAGTTGTCAGTCTGCCCCTGCTTGCAATCCCTATATGTGTGGATCTCCTATTCAAATCTCATTTTGCTGCAGTTGGAAATTGTCATGCATGTGTTGGCGGACATTATATTGTAGATGGATAAACGTTTTCTTTTTTATTTATTGCAAGGGAGGTCAAGTAAGCAAACAACAGTATGAAATTAAGGTGTCCTAATTAAGGTACATCTTCTTTATAGATATAAGAGACAAGTCTGTCATAGTTAGAAAAGTAATGTATTATTAACATTCTAAGTCTGACTATGCTTTTTAAAATGAATATTATCATGCTCAAAAATCTTCAAACTTCTCAAAAGCTTGTTATATCTGGTGAGCTCCAATGGTAAAATGTATGCCTTGCCCTGCCATGTTTCTGCAGACTGTACCCACTACCTTGTTTTGTTTGTGTTACACAATGCAGAAGAAGGAGCGAGACTTTTGTTGCTGTAGCCGGTGGAGTGAGACTGTACAGTAGAAAGGGACAAAGTAACATTTTTGCCACTGGAATACCTATAAAATAAAATAAACCAGTGGATGGGTCCTCTGAAACTGAAATACCAGTTTACTGATTGGAAAGTATGGCCGTTGTAATATTACAAAATTAAATCTGACTGCCAGACAAAAGCAAAATTGTTCAAGTCACCATTGTCTCCAGGCAGTTCTATTATCAGCCCCTGTATATCTGACTGTGAAGTTCCTGAAATATTTTTTATATTACTATGGCCCTAGGAAAGAGAAAGAGCTGTTATCTATGTCTACATGACCTAATAATAAAACTTTAAAGTTTTAGAAGTGTAGGATTTTTCAGCATAAATGTTCTGCATTGTAGATCAATGTGTAAAATCTATGGGGCCAGCAGTGCACTTAGGTGTGTCACCCTGAAAGAGCTAGTTTCTTCCCAGCATGCTCTGGGCAGACCTGACGAACCTTCCCACTACACTGAACAGGGGGGGAGCGGTCGTGAAACGGGTCGGATCTGACAGCACAGCAGGGATGCTCCTGGGATCCATCTTCCTCTTCCTCCTCATACTCCAAACCCTCCTCCTCTTCAAGCTGGGAGGCCGTCTCTGGGCCCTCGGAGCCAGGGCTTGAGAGGGTGGGGGAGGGGGTTATTTCGGCCATGCTGTCACTCATGCATGTGGTGAATAAGGGAGAGCTGAGATCAGAAAGGGGGGAGGGGGGAGGTTAGTACAAGACAGAACTGGCTAATCCGCACTGTTGGCTGGAAAACCCAGAGGATCTCAGAAAATGGGTTAAAAAAAAATATTCCGGTGGTGACATTACAGGAATGGTGGAGTGAGGGGTACACAGGAGATTATAGAATTATGAGTGAGAAACTACAAACCAATGGACAGAAAAAAGGCGGTGGAGTAGGGAAGCATGGATAACAAGGTTTAGGGCCAGAACAATATTTTTCCTTGATCAATACTGTATGCTTTCCATTTTTAAATAGAGAATAAGACATTAGTGGGGTAACCATGGTACCTATAGACATAAACATCTGTCATTCAAAAACAATTAATCGATCATATGCTCATACAATGGCACCATGAACATGCAAACATTTTGTTAGTACAGCACTGCCCTATATCAGTGTTTCTCAACATTTTTTCAATCAAGGCACCCTTTAAAATTATGAAAAGTCCCAAAGCACCCTTTAAAATTATTCTAAAATGGGGTGCCTCAGGACTGTCCATAATTTTAAAAGGGCACCCCATTCTAAAATGCGAAAAACTATTCTAAATATTTTATTTAACACAGCAACATCTACACATGTAGGACACCCAACATTAGAGGTGATTTATCCTTCCAAAGCAAACACTTACACACTGGTGCTGACTAGTATTCCAGTGTTTCTCTTATCCATCATTGATCTAATGTGACCCCAGCACTGATGGAGAGGGGCAGGGGAGGGTCAAACTAGGATGCTGTGCAGGCAGCTGACATCCTCCTTATCAACTGCTGATGTCATTGGTTGTCAGGAAGCCGGCGGCTAAAAGGTCGTAATGGTGCACAATGAAAACCTGTGGCTTTGTGTAACTAAAAGGCAGACTTGTTCCACTTGCTGGCTTGAATACAAGTTTTGGGAAATTTATAGACATTTTTCCAAGGCACCCCTGAAGAAACCTCAAGGCACCCTGGTTGAGAATGGCTGCCCTATATAATGTAAAAAAAAAATTGTACAGTTATACATTTTTGAAGTATACTGCAAACTTTGAGCAGCATTATTTTTCCTTTAATCATACTTACTGGGTTTCAGCAAATCACCATTTGTAAAGAGCAACCATTTATTGGCATTCCTACTACTGTCACTACCAATACTGTGAAAGACTTCATTGTTGCATTGCAGTTTACTGTATGTTATCCTAAAACACGATAACATGCAGAACATGCACCAATGCACTGTAATAGTAGGGGGGCAACGCAGTGCTGTACATATGGTGCATTGTGATGAGCCTCCTTAACAAAAAAGGGTCACATCCATATTTTCTTGTGTTAAGATGCACTCCCAGCCATTTGACAATGAAAGGGCAATTTTAACAGAGCGCACCTTAACACATGGTAACAGTGGGGGTTAGTTACTAAAAGTGGAGAGTGCAAAATCTGGTGCAACTCTGCTTAGAGGCCAATTAACCTCCAGGTTTTATTGCCAAAGCTTAACGGAAAAAGCTGAAATTAGAAGCTGATTGGCTACCATGCACAGCTGCACCAGATTCTGAATGTTCCAGTTTTAGTAAATCTTCCCCATTGCATTTACTAGGGTGCATTAATTCAAAGCCTAGTGTGAAGGGAGTCTTGTTAGTTTTAAAATCTGCCTTTATTGTTCATGTATCATGTGATATTGTAGAAAGGTGAGTTTACTATAGTGAACACATTGTATATGAAGGCTATGATGGACACCCTGTCCTGAAAAAGCTAGTTGCTTCAATAGATTTTGAGCCATCTACTCAAAAAGTATGCAGATCAGTTCTGATTTCTCTGGCTGCGTACTTCTTTGGGTCACTGGGGTTGATTTACTACAGACAAACATTGCCATTGCAAAGGAATTTTCTCCAGAGCTTTATCAATGAGGGAAATCTCTGCTGACGTTCATCATTCAATCATGTGCAAATACAAATGCATTTTTTTAAGTTTTCCTTGTATGTGATTGGGTATTCTATGCAAAGTGAAATTGTTTCACATTCACTTAAAGCTTTGGGACAAATTCCCTTGCAAAGTGCAAAGTGAACAGAATATTTGCCTTTAGTAAATCATTGATTTAGGAAAATAAAGACAACAGGGACAGCAAGCCTGGTGATAAGTGTTAGCAATGACAACATTCATACTCATGTTAGTACAAGTATTCTGTATTTTCATGTAAGACAGCCATTGTTAAAAGTGTTTTTATCATACTCATACCGTGTCCATGCCAACAGCCAAACAATAATCAGTATTTCCCCATTTTCGTTTCCTGTCTATGAGCGGGGGGCAATCAGAGCTGCATACAAGTGCCTAGGTTTTGATATTATGCTTAGAAGAAATGTATAGCTATCTTTCTTGTGTACAATATTTGGTAGTTGTTGCCATGAAAACATTTCTGCACAGTTTTTAAGCCTTTTTTAAAGCTCTTGGAAACTCTCCAAAAGTGTTTATCTCTCATAATACAAACCTCAGGAAATTGATATAGACAAACAAAAATAGAATACTAATAATAATGAGCTAAAAAAAAAACAGTTCCTTAGCAATAGCTAAAGCTTCTAGTAAAGTTGGGATTTACTGGACAGGAAAGAATAATACATGAGATCATATAGTGAAAATTAGGTATTACATTTGGAACATTCTGTATTCGCTTGTCACACCTAATCATGACATTCTGATGAAACGAGTACATAATAATACGGGGAGGAGGAGCTTACCTGCCCACCAGACGGAACCATGGGAAGCGATCATAAAAGGGATCACCCCCAGTCACCACATTATCACAGTCTTCACTCAGACCTGATGGAAGTTCAGCTGCTCGGTCGTCGTACATTTCCCGCATCATGTCCAGACGCTGCCTGTGGAAGTTTTAATACCGAAGCAATAAACAAACAGCAAAGCAAAATTGTCTATAAACAGAGTCAACCTGGCCATATACTATTTAAATTTCAGCCAACTCCTGATGAACTGGCCAAAATTTGCTCTGTGAGTGCCTGTCACCATCCTCCCGCCTGACATTTTGTCCAACAACACCTGCATCCAATCAGATTCAGTCACTGTTTGGGCATTCTAAAAACCGGCGGCTGTCAGAATACAGTAGGTACAGTAAGAGACTTGTCCATCAGCGCTGCATAGCGTGGATGGGAGAATCTGTTAGATTTTTTTATTTCAGCCTGCAGGATGAATGAAAAAATGTAAAAAAAAAATGTATGGCCAGCTTAAGCCATCTTATCATGGTAGCTTCCTTCTCCAAACTGACACACAAAGTATGCTATTTGAATATCAACACTAAGTCTAAACAATAAAAAGACAGACTACCTTCATTTACATTAGAATGTTATTTATACCTTTATGTGTTGTAGTGATGATTATTATGGATGTAGTGAGGTGTGCTATTCTTTATGTGTTGTAGTGATGGTTATTATCACTATATTTTCTCTCCCTCTTTTTAGATGTATTTTATTGCCCATTTGATATATTAATATAGTTTTATGTATTATTAATAAATATTCTGTTTTTAATTATACTAGCATGCCCTCCTTAAGTTAGGACTTTCCATGGATGTGTTCTATTAGGTTACAATATATATATATATATATATATCGCAGGGTCTCCAGCATAATGGTTGCCATACGGTATACATTCTATTCGAGATATATATAGTGATATTGTAGATGGATTGCAGATAGCATATGCCCACGTGGGGGATTTTATCTATGTTTCTTATTAGCTGGGGTTCATTTTTCCAAATATTGGAGCAAGGGTTAAGTATTTTCCTTTGAACTACTCAAACATGGCTGCTGGAATCTCGTCCCTGTTGAGTCAATTGCCGGAGGTCCGCCTCTGTGCAGGAGATTGGCACTTAGCTCCCTTTATAAAGAACATACGTCACCTCTAGCGTTAGCCCTGAGGAAGTCACGTGACTAACAAGACACAACACGTAGGCACGCGGTGATGCACTTCCGGAGCGGACGCCATTTTACTACACCCATGCAAGTACACCCAGAACATGAGGTTCTAAATGCTTGTTTATCCATGATTACATTGTGAGTGCAAAATTTGGAAGGCTTTGCTCTATTCCGCATATAATAAAAGGTAATACACTATGGGAGGTTCTGCTTATGTGTTCTACTGAGATATTGGCTTATACCACACCTGTATACCTGGAGAAGATTTCGCCACCATTACGTATATTCCTGAGGGGGAGATTGCTGCAGGGAGAGGTGCGTAGTGACAGAGGAATCATGTACATGGTGGATTTAGTTTGGTGAACCTAAAGGTGTTTTGACTCTTGTGGGTCGAAGCAAGGAGGTGAGCGGGTATTTCAGCTATCTGTGTATATCCTTCTGTGGTTACGCACGTCCACTATCCACATGCACGAGTGTTTATGCATTGGACTGCGTGATGTTTAAGCAACAATTTGGATTTCTTCACTTATATATAGTTTTTTAGTGTCATGCGTTTATTTTGCATGTTCATTCTTATTTAGTGTGACACTGTCATTTCACTTCCGAGTTTATTATTTTTTATTCTTTATTGTCACGTGGCATTTATTTAGTTTTTTCAACACAAGTTATGTGTTTGGGTTGATATTTGTTTTATGGGGGTATTTTCTTTTTGATATTAAGTGAGTGTGCACATTTGATATATGAAGTGTTTACCTGTATGTATGTGTGTTTTCCTTGATTTGGAGTCCATTTTGGACAGTATTCACATATTAGTCCCATTTTGGACTATTCTATCTTATTGGTTTGAGTGTCCACCATCACCATAGATCCAATTTAGGATCAATTCACTCATATACCATACTTGGTGAAAGTATTGGTATACACACTTCAGTTATTACCATCACTTTGGTGGATTGCAACTCACTTTGTTCACAAAGGATCCCCAGAGGATCAGGTCACGTTTAGACACTTATAGTTTTTTCTGTGTCATTTTTAGATCCCATGTGGATTAGGTCACGTTTATGATATTTGCACTTTTTGTCACTTTACATTTATCACATTTATCTATCTATTTATTTATATGAGTTTATGGTATTTATATGAGTTTATGGTGTATTTATTTATTTGTTTGTTTGTTATTTGAGTAGCGCAACATAATTTTTTCTTATCTTTATACCGGTCATTTTTATTCATAGTAAAGGCTTTAATGAATAATTTAGTAAAGCGTAATGAAGTAACACGATTGCCAATATGCTGTCGCTAAAGAAAACATTGATCCACTGACTTCAGTGGTGGACCTGAGGGTATCTGCGAATATCATTACACCCAATCTGTCAGCTATTTAATGGATAATTTTAAAAAAAACGATATCATCCTGACAAGGAATATAGACATGTATCCTCATCAAAAGCTGTGAACAAGCAAGATATGCTCATACCAGCCATAGTACCCTTAAAGTTGATTGAAAGTATAATTAAGGCTATAGCTATTCTTTCTCCCCCCACTAACCTCTAATAACCTAACCTAGCTATAAAACTACTGAAAGCTGTTAAATATCTAAATGGCCAATTAGTGCCTCTACCTGCCCATGCATCCTGTTTGTCACCTTACTGTACTCTTAGTGAAATGTAAAGCCAGCCATACATGGATTGAAATTCGACCAGTTAAACTGGGACTGACCGAATTTCGATCCATGTATGGGCAGATTTGTGGATGGAGGAATCAATTTATTTCAAAATGCTGGTCTTTTGTATTGTCTTATGCCAAAAAAGTGCTTATCATCCTTCCAATAACCAAATAATACCAACCTGGCACCAGGTATGCAAACTAGAAGAGAAGATCTTTAAAAGTTTACTCATCTCTAGCTATAGAATCTCAGGTCTGGTTATCGCCAGGGACAATATTTACTTAGAGGTTGTATACAGTTTTTGCCCCATTTTCATGTGAGTGTTCCATTGGATTTCCCAGCTTTTACCAACAATCCCAAAGGACACTGCTAGGTTAACTAGTATCTGACTACCTTGACCCTAATATAAGTATTGCAGGTTAAACTGATGGAGAGGTTTAAATTAGGGCCACATTATAACGATGTTTCAAGATTGTGAGGAACTTCTTTGTCATGGTGAAAACAAACTTTTAGATTGCTGTGGTTAGTGAACACTCCTGCTACTGATGTCCTGGACCTCTACAGCCACAATGGTCCTTGGGAAGGGACGTTTCTCCCGTTCAGAGTGAGCATCAGGGGGCAACAAATCAGGCGGTAGTGGTGAATACAGAGTATCTGTCAGCAGTACAAACTGGAACTGAACCTGTGGAAAGTCATATCCATAACATCCATTAAAATACATGCTAGTCACATAGTTATTTTGATTGATTTCTTCACTTCTTTTTAAAAGACTACTCCAAAATAAAACCTTGGCCAGAAAATGTTTAAAAGACTGACAAGTATTATTTGCCCCTGGAAGCACCACTTCAAAGTTCTATGACACCATGATATCAACCACATTTTATTAAATTAATAGATAAGATGAAGTTACTATTAACACGTTTTGTTCCTTCGGAGGTTAGAAAATGAAAGCCAATACCTAACTTGTTGCTATGTACTAAAACCTCACTTTTCACCTGGTCCCATTTCCATGAAAAAAGTCTTTGCATTTAAAAGTCATACACATTGGTAGCTTTGATCAGAAATTTTCTGGTAAATTGAATCTTCTGAAGACTTGTTGTACTGGAAAATTTAACTATATTAGCATAAAATTGTGTAATTATCTCTTGGCTTCATTCACAACTATACCTCTGTCATTCCAACAGCATGGCTTCAGTTTCATGTGAAAGAATAGTGATGTGTGTTAATGCATGTAAAGAGTATAGCACTCTGCAAATTAGATAGACGCTCTGATAATGTGTGGGAATGCAAACAACTTTGACAAGTAAGAGAAGTGAAGATATATTATTAAAGTACGGTAATATGTATGATCATACTACTTAATATTTACATATTAAATAAACCAAAATAAATTAGATTAACAGAGAGTTTTTGATGTGACTTGAATGTTGCTCATATGATTAAAAGCAACAAAAAGCCTGAAAACTTTATAAAAAATCAGAACATTCTATATGATCATATTATCAATTTTAAATTATGTTACTCATAAAGATTACCTTCTTCTTTAGCTCGACACTGATTGCATTGGCCTCTTTGAGAAATATGGCATTGCCCCATAGCTGGTCACGTAATGAAGTGAACTGGTACCATTTCCATTTGCGAAAAGCCCATAGCGCTAGATCATACTCTTGGTCCGTCCACTGAACTGAAATATTATAGGATTTTAACAATTAGCTTTGTATCTTATTATAGACAGATGTATGAAGGAATCAAACTATCTATATGATTTATTTATGGTACTTACCTGCAAATGTACACCTTCTAAAATTACATGTCTTACCTTCGTCCTCTGGTTCCTCCTCTTCATCATTGGCCTCAGTGTAATATCTTGAATCCATTTGTCTTTGTAGTGCTTCCAACCGACTTTCATAATCCTGTGAAGTGTTAGAAATATTTTATTGTAACAATTCCATTCTAAAGGTGGAATTGGATTGGTTGCCATCAGTGGTGTCAATTTTTACTGATGCACCCCAGAATTCTGCCTTGAGAAAAGATATCATTCATCTGAATATTGTTGTCAATGAGCTGTGAGCAGAAGCAGTAATAAGCTAGCACTGTGAGAAGCAGGTAAAACAACTATGTGCATCAAGGCAAAGCAGAACACAGACAGTGGGGGTGGGGGTATTTACTGGAGCACTCAGAATCTGGTGCAGCTGTGCATGGTAGCCAATGAACTTCTAACTTCAACTTGTTCAAGTAAGCTTTGACAATGAAACTTGGTAGCTGATCGATGCAGAGCTGCACCAGATCTTGTATGCTCCAGTTTTAGTAAATCTCCTCCAGTAAGTAAACAACGAGTACATATGGCTTCCTCACTTCAGTTATATAATTAAAAAATATACCCTGGAATTTCTGGATAACCCTTCGATACTTCAGTACCTGACGTAAGTTACCTATTACTGCATAAAATGCTCTTCAATTTCATGTCTTCAAACCTTCCTACCTACTACTATGTCACCAGTTGTAGTACTATACTGTATGTTTTTTGCTCCTTATACCCCACATTTCCCCTTGTGGGGCACTTATAATTTGCTTGGGTAGAACAGGGGTCTCCAAACTTTCCAAACAAAGTGCCAGTATACTGTCCGGCAAGTTTTAGGGGGGCCGGACTATGCCTGGTGGGAGCAGGAAATGCCCAAACGTCATTTGGTCTATGTGGGAGGAATAGTGCCCCATCATTGGTGTCAGTGAAAGGGATAATGCCCCATCATTGGTATCAGTGGAAGGAATAGTGCCCCATCATTGGTATTAGTGGGACGAATAGTGCCCCATCATTGATATCAGTGGAAGGAATAGTGTCCATAATTGGTATCAGTGGAAGGAATAGTTCCCCATCATTGGTGTCAGTGGGAGGAACAGTGTCCCATCATTGGTGTCAGTGGGAGGAATAGTGCCCCAAGGGCCAGATAAGGGCAGGCAAAGGTCCACATCTGTCTCCTGGGCCGCAATTTAGAGCTCACTGGTGTAAAACATTATGTTGTTGAATGGCTTGGAATCATTTAAAACAACTCCTGGCAAAAACTTCTTTACAAGTCCTTGTTGCTAAATTCCTACCTACACTGAATATGTCATCCATCTTCTGATTCACTCTGAAATAGCCTATTCATTTTCAATCAAACTGTTAATTCTCTTTGGTTTCCTGTTTGTAAGACCTGTGGCTGCTATGCCTCCTATTCCCCCAGCCACTGGTCTTGGCACATCCCTTCTTTAGTTCTTTCTCCAGGAAGCTGTGATAAAATCCAGTCCCACTTGCAGTAGTGGGTGGGCCAAGACTCTTAGACACATTCAGCATGTACAGGCCTAGTGTACCCACCCACATTTACTACAATTCCCGGTGGTTGATGGGAACTGTAGTTAACTTTTACTGTGGAGAGAGAGCAGAGGATATGATATAGTCCCTGCTGTTACACCTTCTCCTTGGCAGAGCAGATGCTATTATTTTTTTAATTACAGAGATGACTTCTTGAAAATTTAGTTAGGACTTTTCTCTTCAATGGTAAGTGTTTTCTATTGGGTGGTGTACTATTGGGTGATTTTTTGCCTATCCCAGAGTTCTTCTTTAACTATTTTCAACACAGCACCTTTCTGTCTATATGATGCCTGGTTTTATTCATATTTTGATTACCTTTAACATACACTTTGTATGTTCCTTGTACTTGTTTCTGTAAATGTTTTTTTTTTGTATTGTTGGAAAATACAATAAAAGCTATTGAAACATAAATATAAAATATGCAATATTTTATATACAGTAAGACAATAAATCTACACTGAAATGAGACAATGGAGAGCTGAGAACTTCAGTACTGTGTTGTGAAATGGCACTTTCCACGTGGTAAACAGGTCTCTCTCAGGCAGGAAACTACACTTGCATCATCACATTTGGTTTTTCTATTCCTGACCCTTTGTATATTATCCTAAACATTCTAAATGGACATACTCAGTAAGACCATTGTAGTAAAATAATTTTAATGAAATAAGTGCTTACCAATCTCTGTTGCTCTAGGAGGTAATTTGCTTCTTCACGTTCTTTTCTGTACTGATCTTCCAGCTCTTGAAGTCTGATTGGTAAAAGAAGAAGACTCTTAAATTCATTCTTACAGAATGATACAAAGCATTAGTATGATAATCAACAGAAGGTGAGAGATTGGCCTGTGCTTCCTCTGTACTGAACATTGTTGGGCTTACAAAATCGTTCTTTCCTGCCTTAACAGAGATCTCATTTTGGTACACATGCAGTATAGGCATTGCATAATTTTCTAAGAAGAACAATCTCCAACTAGTTCCAATGAAAAACTTATAGTGGAGTATCTTTGGGACAATTAGCAAGCTCTTTTTCATGCAAACTTGTTATCATTCAAGAATTAGGACACACACTGACTAATTTTTGCAAAAGTAAGTTAATTTACTTAAGTCAGTGTCCATAGCACGTGTAAATGTCTCAGTATTGTGTGACCACATTCCGCTTTCAGGTCATTATAGGTATTTTTTTTCCAACTTTTGTAAGTGTTGTTTTTTATAAGCATCAACAGCAGACTTTTGTTCCTTCATTGGGATAGATACCTTTGCTCCATTTCCTGCTTCATGTCTATGCCTTGCTTTTCTAGCAGCTCCCTCTGAGCAAAAGCCCAGTCCACAGGTTCCATAGGGGTCTCAGCACAGGGAGTGCGCTCTCTTTCTTGACGTGCTTGCTCAGGGTGGTTGAAGCGAAATACATGACTCTTACCCATTATGATTCGATTACCTGAATTGAGAGATGAGACTAAGTTAACACAACTGTGTTTTTATACCAAGTTGAGTTAATTTTTACCCATAATGTTTGCATGTAGCACCACTTCTAAATGATTATAAAATGGATAATTCTGTTTTTCAATAAAAACACCCTGATTGTTTATGTACTTGGGGAGCAGTTTTTGGTTAATATTCTTATAGTCGATCTGACAGCCATTTTACATTTTCAAAGGGTAATCTCTCTGCCTAACAGCAAACACCACAAGATGTCACTTCTGAAACTAGTTTCCAATGATATTTGAACCTGCCTTCTCTGACTTCTGCACTAAACCTGTCATCCCCAAGTCAAATGAAAGAGCTTGAGTGGCCATTAGTGACACATTCACTAGACAGAAGGATGGCAGTTGTAGAAGTTATGGAATTGAGGCCGAAGTGACAGTGACCCTTGTTTCAGAGATTAAAGTGATTCTAAAGGAATATTTTTTCTAAATAACAAACATGTCACATTTACCTGTTCTGTGTAATGGTTTTCCACAGAGCAGCCCTGATCCTCTTCTTTTTGTGTCCCCTGCCACAGATCCTGGCTCCTCCCCTCTGCCAAGTGACCCCAATAGCAAGCCTCTTGCTATGGGGGCACCCAAACAGGCTCGCTCCTGAGCTGTGCTCTGTGTGTACATTCATATATGGAGCGTGGCTCTTCATGCTCGTGGTCCCCTCATTGGCTCACTTTCTGTGATTGACAGCAGCAGGAGCCAATGGCTCCTGCTGCTGTGTGAGCCAGTGAGGAGAGAGAGATCCCAGAAAGCCACTGCACTAATGCACATAACTGGATCGAGATTGGGCTCAGGTAAATATAAGGGGGGCTGGAGGGGAGAGCTGCACCCAGAAGGTTTTTTTTTTACCTTAATGCATTGAATGCATTAGGGTAAAAGACCTTGAGCCTTTAGAACCATTTTACCATAGAGGTAGTTGTTCAAGATGATATAGGCTTTAGCAGGAATTTTGTGGTGTCTTCTCTTTGGCATACAATTTACTGCTGACTCTTAGTGCTTTTAGCTTTAAATAGCTGACAAGTTACTTGTGTACATAGTGAAACAACTGTTAAATGAGCAATATTTTTAGACATTGTATTACTAGAACTTAAAAGTATTACTTAAAAATAAAATTAGAACATGAATTGAGGCACACATTGGGGTTGATTTACCAAGGGCAAATTGGCTATTCACTTTTCAAGGGAATTTTCACAATACTAGGGAATTTTCCTTAGCTTAGTGAATAAAGTAAGACTGCTGAATTCTGTCATCCAATCATGTGAAAGTAAAAATACAGTTGTTTTTTTTTTTTTTTCATTTTCCCAGCACATGATTGGGTATTCTTTGCAAAGTACTTTTCACCACATTCACTAAGCTAAGGGCAAATTTCCATGCAAAGTGAAAATTCTCTTTTAAACAGTTCCTTTTTGGGGGGATTTGAGAGGCTGCATTTTCTGGTACAGATAAGATAGTGTCTGCTACATTTGTAGACAGGTGATACCTGGAAATTTGCATGAATTTATATCTGACATCTGATTTAGGTGTAATGGAAAAAAAAAGTGAGCTTACCGGATCTCAGTATAATTGTTTCTGTCACTTTCTTCCCGTTCACATATGTGTCAGCCCCATCACAGGGTTCCAGGGTCACCACCACTGTGACATGACAGAACATTGAACAGAGATGAGAAAAACATTCTCTTATTACAGTATTTTTAAGTGTGAGTTGCAGATTATACAAGAGATTGTTTATAGTATATTACATGCACATTAGAAGTAAAAAGAGCTAAAGAGATGTATAATTTTTTATGTGTAATATTTTGGTACCATGATATGTTACAGGGTGACACAGATCATATTACCTGCCCCACAGGGCATAGAATGACTGCGGAAAACACAGTGTTCTTCACGGATGAAGTGGCCACTTAAGACAATATCCTGTCTCCTCTCTACATCCTCACGGCCAACTCTGTTGAAAAAGTAATAACAGAAATCACACCGCATACATCTAAAACAATCCATAAAGAGACTCATGAAAAAATAAAATCTGAGGGAGAGTACGGTCCAATATAAGAGGAAACCCGCTTCTTCAATTTATACCTGGCTAGCAGCTGCATGGTGCAAATTCAACAATTCAGTGCTAACAACTAACTGGAGTCCAGCTTTAATAAAAGAAGCATTACTATTAGCATTCTTAGTGCATGCCAATTATATATATATATATATATATATATATATATATATATATATATATATACACATTATATTGCCAAAAGTATTGGGACTCCTGCCTTTACACGCATATGAATGGCACACCAGTCTTAGTCCTTAGGGTTCAATATTGAGTTAGCCCACCCTTTGCAGCTATAACAGCTTCAACTCTTCTGGGAAGGCTGTCCACAAGGTTTAGGAGTGTGTCTATGGGAATGTTTGACCATTCTTCCAGAAGTGCGTTTGTGAGGTCAGGCACTGATGTTGGATGAGAAGTCCTGGTTTGCAGTCTTCACTCTAATTCATCCCAAAGGTGTTCTATCGGGTTGAGGTCAGGCCATTCAAGTTTCTCCACCCCAAACCCACTCATCCATGTCTTTATGGACCTTGCTTTGTACACTTGTGCGCATTCATGTTGGAACAGGAAGGGGCCATCCCAAAACTGTTCCCACAAAGTTTGGAGAATGAAATTGTCCAAAATATCTTGGTATGCTGATGCCTTAAGAGTTCCCTTCACTAGAACTAAGGGGCCAAGCCTTAAAAACAACTACACACCATAATCCCCCCTTCAACAAACTTTACACTTGGCACAATGCAGTCTGGCATGTATCGTCTCTCCTGGCAACTGCACAACCCAGACACATCCATCGGATTGCCAGACAAAGAAGCGTGATTCATCACTCCAGAGAACACATCTCCACTGTTCTAGAGTCCAGTGCTTTTCACCACCGCATCCAACGATTTGCATTGCACTCGGTAATCTAAGACTTGGATGCAGCTGCTCGGCCATGGAAACCTATTCCATGAAGGTCTCTATACACTGCTGTTGTGCTAATCTGAAGGTCACACGAAGTTTGGAGGTCTTTAGCTATTGACTCTGCAGACAGTTGGCTACTTCTGCGCATTGTGCGCTTCAGCATGGTCTGACCCCGCTCTGTCATTTTATGTGGCCTACCACTTTGTGGCTGAGTTGCTGCTGTTCCCAGTTGCTTCCACTTTGTTATAATACCACTAAAAGTTGACCGCGGAATATTTAGTAGCAAGTAAATTTCACAGATGGACTGATTGCACAGGTGGCAACCTATCAAGGTACCACGCTTGAATTCACTGATCTCCTGAAAGCGACCCATTCTTTCACAAATGTTTGTAGAAGCAGTGTGCATGCCTAGGTGCTTGATTTTATATACTGGCCATGGAGGTGATTGGAACACCTGAATCCAATGATTTGGAGGGGTGTCCCAATACTTTTGGCAATATATATATATATATATATATATATATATATATATATATATATACACATACAGTATATATGTGTGTGTGTGTGTGTGTGTAAACTAAAGTGATAATTTGTTAAGGTTAGATATACAGTAGCATTCAGTTGATTCTACATTAAAGTGGTTGTAAACCTCCAACATGAAATATGAACAAAGCATATCCCTCTATAGTGTGTTCTTGTCTTAATCCAGAGCAGCAAGTGTCAATTCTGTCTGCTGCTTTGTTCCACTGATATAGGCATGACTCACTTTTGACAAGTTTTCCTGAAACCAAGAGAAAAATGGTGATAGGGAGGGTACAGTCTGTGATTGAGAGCCTCAGCTCTCTTCCTGTGTGCTGTGTGAAGGGGAGTGTGTATCTTCACTCAAATCAGCTCCCAGAGTGCTCCTCACTGATGTAACTTCAGCTCCCGTCCCCTGTTTTTCAGAGCCTGAGAGCTCCTGTGTAAATTCTGCTCTTTGAGTGGATGTAGGGGAAAGACAACTGTAGATAAACAGGTATAACTTATGTAGGATCATCTTTTCATCTCTGTTTATCGCTGAAACGAGTCACTTCACTGGGTATATGAAAGGGTTTACAACCTCTTTAGGCATTTTAAGAAAGTACTGTATGTTCTCACCTAGTGATGCCATCCTTGATATAATATAAGAGACACTCAGACATCAAGGGATCTTCATTAAGATTCACCAGGTGAGGAGTCTGGGGAAAACAAAAATAATATAAATTGTTACACACACTCCAGCGGTAGAATTAGAAAGGAAGAAAAAGAAAAACAAAAATCCTAAAACAGTAATTAACCACAAACACAAGTAAAAATAGGGTTCAGGATACAGATTTTTAATGGTTCGCTCAAAATAACACAGGGTGCATTGGCTCTTGTTCGGCAGCACTCCAAAAGACTGGAACACCCCTTAGAAATGGAGGAAGAACCTAGAGTTAGGAATCCACACACATACAGTCCAATGAGAGTGCCAGGGCTATCATCCAATTAAAATGAGGTTCCTGTACTCATTACTACCACTAGCCTAACCTGTCCTTCTGAAACTGTTTCAAATAGTAGATCACAGTACAGATCTATTTAGTATCTTCTTACCTGAGTCCATCTAAGCACGGTCAAAATTTCTAAGCTCTGATGAAGGGGGAGTCTGTTTTTTTGGCTATGAACCAATTTGATCATTAACAACTTTGGACTCTTGGACATTCCTTTGGCTCTCTCATTGGACTGTAGGTGCCTTGTAATTAACCATGACAGCCTGTCACATGGCTATGAAGCATGCATAAGATCTCATCAGTATAAACAGCTTATTTTGATGAGCTGGAGAAAAGGTGGAGGAAGATGGACAGACACTACACACCAGACCTACACCAACCTCCTTTGGGGAATAAACCCCAACAACTTCTGAGAGATTTTCCACCACTGCAGGGATGAACTGATAATCCATCAAATGGGGAATGGAAGGGTTGGGGAGACAATAATGAAAACTCAACAACACAACAGCACAAAGACATCAAGAGAAGACAACATTTCCTAATCATTACACTTTGTCACACAAACTGCTTAAAATTATAAGATTATATGACCATGACACATATGTCTCAAAAAAGAGGAATATAACCAGGGGCGGACTGACAACTCATGGGGCCCCCGGGCAATAGGGGATAATGGGGCCCCGGTGTCCTTGCCCAAACTCAAAAAAGCCTATGAAAAAGGTACCAGGGGCATCTCCCTACTGACCCCGGGCCCTCGGGCAGTGCCCGAGTTTCCAAATGGTCAGCCTACTGAGTATCACATCTATAGTTCTACTATCAAAACAGCTCATGTTGCATGTTGATTGGAGAGCTATAGGTCTGAATCAGCAAGATTGTATCAAACTTCTACAGAGAGTCCACTGTTTCCACACAGAGAGCAAGGGTCCTTCTCCGCAGAATGCTGGCAGGGGAAAGTCTTTTCTACTAAGTCTTTAGCTGCTTTCTAAAGAAAAGAAAATGTATGACTTTGAACGGCTTTTGTTTTGATAAACCTGGCATGCATTTAGCTGATTCGGTTAGTACTTTACTGATTTACACAGATTCTGTTTTAAAGTATATGTAAACCCTCACCTTGTAAAACAACCCGTTCAGTTAAAAACAGAAATGAAAGGCAACACATTTGTGCATACATATAAACACCTTATACTGTAAATAAATATGTTTTTCCCCTTTTTTACAAGTGATCTCATACCCTCTGTTCTCAAATGCATCAGGAGCTCAGAACTAGGGAAAGAGAAGCAGCAGCAGACTGATCTTCCCATGGGATGGCTGTGCGGGGGGGGGGGGGGGGGGGGCAAAAGTCTGATCATGGAAAAGAGCAGACTGGGTTCCCAGCACAGCCAGAAAACTGACCACGCTGTGCTCTCCTGCCTTGTGTGGTCAGTTTTTTAAAAAAAGGAAAGTAGAGGGGCTGGCAGGAACACCGGGGATCTCACACAAAGGAAGCAATACAGAGAGAACAGGATACTTTTTCATACAAGTAAATTGTACAGCAGGCACAAATCTGGACTATAGAATGTTGGGTTTACATATTCTTTAAATATTAATTTCAGGGTTTCTGGACATACAGACATTAATATTGCCTGCACACATGCAATCAAAGTTTAAGGGGTTTTTTTTTTATGGAACTGCTAGCTCTGTTTCTTTCCAATTCTGGAAAAAAAATCTATATAACAGAAAATTATTATCAATTACCATCTTTTTTTAATTAACAATAAATTCTTTCCCTAAAATAATAGAAATAAGTAATATTATAAGGTAAAAATTCATAGCTTACCTTTTTAGGTGAAAACACTCCAAGGGTTCCTCCATCTTCTCTCATAGCCACCCCCATCTCTGCCAACAGAGCTTCCCTGTTTGGAGAAGAAGGCAGACATGGATTATGAGACATCATACATGGCTGTTGTATCCAGTATCCAACCTCTTTTATTCCCACAGTGACTTTTTGCGAGGTGATTATCACCATTGTTAAAGAATAAATTAGAGGCTTTTTTTGCGTACAAAAATCTACTTAGAGGAAATCTTTATATGCCATTTTGAAATAATTAAAATTAGAAATTAAATAGTGAACAATAAAATGCAAGTTGATTGAGATTTTTTGTTCTGGGTGTCAATTTTATTTTATTTGTTTGTTATTTTTTTTAAGCTTCAAGTTTTCAAATTGAATGTTATTAGACTATTTTTACTTTCAAATTTCAAATTTTATTATTCATAAGAATAGAGTGAATCAGGAAAATATTGCATTTGGCAACTATTTGGAGCTGAAAATCATAGTAAGTATTTATTTCCTGTGATTATTAGCTCAGTCTAGTGGTTATAATACGTTTTTTTCCTCTCTATTCTGTATGAATAGTAACAGTCAACCTGGGAAGAAAACAGTCTAATAACATTTGATCTAGTCCTGATTTGCACAGAACAAATGTGTATGCAGCTTATCAGATTGAATATCTTTGCAAATGTATTCATAAATAAGTGTTTTGTACTTTTCTTCTAGCTGCCTCTGGCTCAGTACACAGTAAAGGGGTGATGCAACAGACCAGGATCTGCATCATTGCATTGTTTGTGCTGTACATACAGGGGCAGTAAGGTGGGGGTTTTGGAAAGTGCAGGGCAAGGGATGGTGAGGGGAGAGGGTCATTTAAAGAAATGCTGTCATGAGAAAAATATGGATGGTACAAATACTGGCTACCTTTTAAAAAATGCTAGTTGCCTGGCTGTGTTTGGCTTTATTACTAATGAGCCCCTGACCAAGAACAAGCTTGTAGCAAAAGAAAAGTCAGAAATAATTGAATCTAAAGTTGTTCAAGGTACATGACTCAAATAACTGAAAGCGGTATTAAACTCCAAACCAAAAATGTAATATAGTGCAGCTTACCAAGCCTTAGATGTGGTGGCTGCATTAGTTTTCTATTTTTAGGCTTTATTCCTTCTATTTTTACCTGGTGATCTGGCCAGTAACATACCTCCTGTATTAGAGTGCCTCCACTCTGGATGAAGGAGCACAGGGGGCCTATTTGGACAGCGGCATTGTCAGTCTGGGGGAGGGGAGTGTTAAATGTACCAGAAGATTTATACATAGTAACACATTGACGCAAAACTCCAGCTAATACTTTAAAATCAGTTACAGCAAACAGTTTTTGTTTCCTTTTGGGATAAAGGTTTAACATTAATAAATAAAGGCTGAACATTTGAATCAACCCTGCCAGTGTTAAATGGTTTGTCTCATCCCCGTAAACTGATACATCTAGAAGAGAGCTTGTTCTTTTGAAAGACAACTGTCCATGGCTGGATCAACAGATGAAAATAGAAGAAAGTCTAAAAAAGAAAACTAATGCAGTCATCACATCTAAGCATTGGTAAGATGCAATATAATCAATATTTGTTTGGGGGTTTAGTACTGCTTGAAGCCACAGTAGAATTACGAGGGCCAGAAAATTAGCATCTAACAGTCAGCAATGGCATCTACTAATTTATTTAATGACAGGATTACTTTTAGGGATGTTTCAGGTGGCAGAATTTAGTAGCATTTCATTTTGTACCCCTAGTTAATAAAAAATTACCTGTCCATACGAATAGCTTCTGTACGGCGCAGCTTCTCCTCCCAGGTCTCATTGAGCTCAGCAATGATCTTCTCTGTTTCCTGCATTGAGAGAATGAAAGGTCAGTTTTAATACATGGGGAATTACTAAACAACACCAAAGACATTTCCCAAGAAAGAGGTTAATCCTTTCTGACTACTCTTAGGATGTAAATGGATCATCATCTGTTTACATCTGTTTTTCCATAGAGATGTATTGATGTCCATTTTTCATCTGTCAATGGATAGATGTAAATGCACAAAAGTTCCATATCAGTGAAATGGCCCTTAGACTCCGGTCACATCAAGCACAAATTTGAAATCGTGCGACTTTCAGTGAAGTCGCACGATTTCAAAGTCAGGGGACATGCTGATTTCAGGTGCGATTTGCAAGACATCTGACACAGATGTCTGCAAATCGCAACAAAGGTGCATGTACTACTTTAGAAATTAGTGCGGCTCCGACCAAGTTGGAACTGCACCGATGTGACCGCTGTAATTGCGGACAATAGGGTGCGAATTGGCATGCAATTTGCAAGTTGCATGGCATACAAATCGGATGCCAAGTTGCACCCAGTGCGACTGGGGTCTTAGAGAGAGGGGTACTCAGTGGGGCAGATTTACTAAAGCTGGAGCACTCAGAATCTGATGCAGCAGTGCATGGTAGCCAATCAGCTTCTTACTTCAACTTTTTCAATTACGGTAAACTATGATGGTAAAACCTGGAAGCTGATTGGTTTTTATTCAGAGCTGCACCAAACTTTACACTCCCTGGTTTTCGTACATCTTCCCCAGTTTAGCTATATTTAACTAGAATAATGGCTGCCCATGTGTTAATTATAAGTGCTTCTGCACTCACAGTTTTCACTTACTACTGCTGCAAAGTCCTACAAACACAGATTGATCTTGCCAATGAAGTCCACCTAATGCAGTTTCCTGTGATGGTGTGGCAACGATACTGCACTACTTCTGAATTCAGAGCAGAGCTGCCAGTCTCATGTAGGCTGTACCTGCTTTCACCAGGGGGCAGAAAAAAATGTTGTAGGGGGTGTGGCTATCAGCATTATCACTGCAGATTCACAAATCTGCAACTTGTCAATGCGCACCTAGACAAACCTAGTACTTTCTAGATTGACAGCACTGCCTCTGTTCCTGAAAACCTCACACTGAGAGCAGCAGTGCCTGGAAAGCATGTGAGACACAGATAAAAGAGGAAAATAACGGGGTAGATAAAGGAAGTCTTTTTTTTATTTTATGAGGTTTGTGCACCATAGTAGCTGGTTTTGGGACTTGTTAAGACAATTATACAGGAGCCTTCAGTTGCACTTTTAACTTTGCCTGAGCCTTACACTTTAGCTGAAACATCAGTGGTCAGAGATCACCTGAAGTCCTATCACTTTCCATCACACACTCCAGAGAGTGAATAACAGTGTCAAATAACAGAGCTCCATAGTAAAAAGTAAGGTAATCAATTAGATAGTTCCAATGTTTGATACTCTTAGTAGTTGGTGGTGGCAAGTGATGTCAGGCAGTTGACAAGGTGGGAACTATTAAGGCTTCAGGTAATCTTTGACCCCTGGCACACTACTGATGTGTTCAGAGAAAGTAAGTAAAGCCAAGTAAGTGGCAAATATGAAATGGACTTTACAGAGAAGGCTTGCATCACTGGAGAAACATGGAACAAGGAGGTCAACAATGGCAGCCTCCTATTTTCTTTCTGTACAGGTTTTCTTTATAAATATTCCTTTATTAAAAATTAACTGATAGCATAACTGCCATAGTGTTGATAGCATCACCCAAATATATTATAGTTTCTGGAACAAACCTACCTTGAGCCTCTCAATGGCTTCTTCGCTTCCAGGAGTAAATGCAAGGCGCTCATGCAGGCTGCAAACGGAGGCGGCTCGACTAGACAACCCAGACATGGATGACGAAGGGCTCATGCCAGTCAGAGCATTTACGGCTGTGAAGAGATTGTCAGGACCATGACGCGTGTGTAGAACATTGGCGTTATCCACAGGACACACATCTATAAAGAGCAGGAGCCAAAGATAGGGCACGGGGAGATACCGAAACAAAGGACGTAGGAGAAAGAAGAATGTGAAAAAGGGGGTGAAATGTACAATGTAATGTGCAAAGAGAGGAAGTCGATCATCCAGAAAGTATCCAAAATAAGTGGCATAGGACATAAAAAGAAGAAATGAACACATGAGAGACAAAAGAAACAGATGGGATGTGTAATAGCCATAACATTATGTAATGTAAAATATATAAGATAAATATTACATTATATGAATGAAAATAAATAAATTATAGGTAAAACATGGAAAGATAGATGTTTAGGATGCACATGGAAAGAGGCATAGGAGAATTTATCACAAGGGATGGGAGAGCGAGGACAAGCAGGAAAGCGAGAAGAGAAACCTTTGTTTGGGTGTGGAAGATATATCAGAAGGAGAGGACACAAGGAACCAGGACTACATCTTATCATATGATACATTTTACTGTCACGAGTTGTGAGCAATGCATCATACTGTAGAACACAGAAAGGAGCTATTCACAACACATTTCTTCAACAAAGAATACTTCAGATAATGGGAACATACATGGCTCCTGGCAAATGCAATAAAAAGTCAAAATCAAATTTTTTCGCAAAATTTATATGAATACATACTGTATATAACAAGATTTGAAAAATATAAGAACAGTATTTGGCAGAAGTTGGTATAGCTGGGGATGACTTCCTGACACTCTAGTTACCATCCAATTAGTCCCTGGTCATGTTCCTAGCTATTAATAATAACTACCACTTTTCCTTCCATTTGTATTTATTTTTATGTTCTTTTTATGTCAATATATCAATGGATACCACTTAAAGTGACAAAAGTCAAACTATATTTCAGCTTAAAAAGAAGCATTCACATCCAGATTAAAGAAAGAACCCAGATATTTCACCTTAAGATATTATATTATCAAAGTTGTGCACTTTATGCATTTTTATTTGCCTTATTTAACTTACATTTTAGTTTAAGTTTAGGAATCAGGAGTCAGTTCCAGTCTTAAGCTGGCCATAGATGGATTAATTTTTTTTTGATCAGCCAGTTGGCTGATCAAAAAAAAAAAAAAAAAGCAATTCCCCCATCTACACATTTGAGGTGGATAAGGGAATCCCCCAGGTGCGCTATTGTATTCTGACAGCAGGACTCCTCTCCTGCCAGAATACACTGATCAGCACTGCAGATGATTGGCTGCAAGCACTGATCGAGCCTTTGCAAATTAATTTTCCCTTAGCTTGGTGAATGAGGAAAAGCTCTCCTGATTTCCATCATCAAGCAGTGTGCAAACAAAAAAAGATTTCGTTTTTTAATTGCCTTGCAAGTGATTGGAAACTTTTTTTTAAGGCAAAGTTTTACCGCACTAAGCTAAAGAAAAGTTTAGGAAAGTTTAATTGCAAGTGAAAATTCCCTTGTGAAATGAACAGCCTATTTGCTTTTGTAAATCAATCCCATTGCTTCTCTTCTCCTGAGACTGCATAGGAGTTTCATATTGCATAGTTCCCTAGTTGTAATCATTTAAAGTAGTGGTCTCCAAACTGCGGCCCAGGGGCCAGATGTGGCCCTTTGCTTGCCTTTATCGGGCCCTTGGGTCACTATTCCATCCACTGACATCAACAATGAGGCATAATTCATGTTGCTGACACCAATGATGTGGCATAATTACTGTTGCCAACACCAACAGTGGGGCACTATTCCTACAACTGACAACAACAATAGGGCATAGGTTACTCCCACTGGCCCTTTTCCAGTCCCCTAAAGTCTGAAGGAAAGTAAACTGGCCCTTTGTTTAGAAAGTTTAGAGACCTCGGATTTAAAGTGTTGGCAGACAGTGTGTGAGGTCAAGGAGCTGACATAACAGTTGAACATCAGGTGAGCTCTATCCATGCCACTCAAGTTAATGTCTGAGGCTTGGACAAAGTAACACTAAATAGGAGGCAAATGAAACTGTGAATTCCAATCATTTAGAACTACATTTTTTGTCTTTTGTGTGTAAGCCTATCCATGACTAGTTCTCCTTAATAAACAAGTTACAGTTGTGTATCACTGCATGCATGACAAGCTTCTAGTGTTTTAGATGTTGCTCGATATTATTTTAAAATGATTGTAACTGTGTCAAGGAAGAGCTAGCAAAAGGTTCCTTTAGTCCAGCCAACAATTACAACTAACCTAGAACAATAATGGAAATAGCAAGCTTCTTCCTAGTGGAATTGTTCAAGTTTAAGTCAACTTTAGAAGGCCACTCTTCTTTTGGCCAAGGTCATTCAAAAGTGTCTTTAAATACTTTTGGCATGTCACACACAGGGATTAGTAAAACCTGTAAAAATTTCATCTTTCAGATACAGTGGGGATCGAAAGTTTGGGCACCCCAGCTAAAAATTTGTATTAATGTGCATAAAGAAGCCAAAGAAAGATGGAAAAATCTCCAAAAGGCATCACATTACAGATTAGACATTCTTATAATATGTCAACAAAAGTTAGATTTTATTTCCATCATTTACACTTTCAGAATAACAGAAAACAAAAAAATGGCATCTGCAAAAGTTTGGGCACCCTGCAGAATTTATAACATGCACTGCCCCCTTTGCAAAGCTGAGACCTGCCTGTCATGGATTGTTCTCAATCATCGTCTGGGAAGACCAGGTTATGTCAATCTCAAGTTTTAAATGCCCAGACTCATCTGACCTTGCCCCAACAGTCAGCACCATGGGTTCTTCTAAGCAGTTGTCTAGAAAACTGAAACTGAAAATAGTTGACCCTCACAAAGCTGGAGAAGACTATAAGAAGATAGCAACGCGTTTTCAGATGTCAATATCCTCTGTTCGGAATGTAATTAAGAAATGGCAGTCATCAGGAACAGTGGAAGTTAAAGCAAGATCTGGAAGACCAAGAAAAATATCAGACAGAACAGCTCGCAGGATTGTGAGAAAAACAATTCAAAACCCACGTTTGAATGCACGATCCCTCCAGAAAGATCTGGCAGACACTGGAGTTGTGGTACACTATTCAACTATAGAGAGATACTTGTACAAATATGGTCTTCATTGAAGAGTCATCATAAGAAAACCTCTTCAACGTCCTCACCACAAAAATCATCGTTTGAACTTTGCAAATGAACATATAGACAAGCCTGATGCATTTTGGAAACAAGTTCTGAGGACCGATGAGGTTAAAATTGAACTTTTTGGCCGCAATGAGCAAAGGTACGTTTGGAGAAGAAGGGGCACAGAATTTAATGAAAAGAACCTCTGTCCAACTGTTAAGCATGGGGTTGGATCAATCATGCTTTGGGGTTGTTTGCAGCCAGTGGCACAGGGAACATCTCACGAGTAGAAGGAAAAATTGATTCAATAAAATTTCAGTAAATTTTGAATGGTAACTTGATGCCATCTGTGAAAAAGCTGAAGTTAAAGAGAGGATGGCTTCTACAAATGGATAATGATCCTAAACACACCTCGAAATCCACGGGGGATTACATCAAGAGGCGTAAACTGAAGGTTTTGCCATGGCCTTCACAATCTCCTGACCTCAACATAATTGAAAATCTATGGATAGACCTTAAAAGAGCAGTGCGTGACAGACAACCCAGAAATCTCAAAGAACTGGAAGACTTTTGTAAGGAAGAATGGGCAACGATACCTCAAACAAGAATTGAAAGACTCTCGGCTGGCTACAAAAAGCGTTTACAAGCTGTGATACTTGCCAAAGGGGGGCAGTACAAGATATTAACTCTGCAGGGTTCCCAAACTTTTGCAGACGCCATTTTTTTTGTTTTCTGTTATTTTGAAAGTGTAAATGATGGAAATAAAATCTAACTTTTGTTGACATATTATAAGAATGTCTAATCTGTAATTTGATGCCTTTTGGAGATTTTTCCATCTTTCCTTGGCTTCTTTATGCACATTAATACAAATTTTTAACTGGGGTACCCAAACTTTCGATCCCCACTGTACATGCCCTGTAGTAGCTGTGGGCATCTTTAGTGCCAACTTCTGCATTAATAATAATAGCAGCTAGACAGCTACACAGAGAGTCTGGCAGCAAAATGGATTGATTTGGAATTAGCTGACACTTTTTACATTTTGTAAACTGCAAAGCTGGAAAAGTTGAACTTAACATTGCAAGTTTGATAACAAAAATAGCTGTTGGGTAGGAACTCCTGGAAGTGTGCCATTAAATTATAAGAGAAGACAAGGTGCACTGTTACACCTCCTAAGAACTGCTGGAAAATCTCATTATCTGTAGGCACACACATCAGCCTTCAGCAAATTGGTAAGAAATGTTATTTTAGTTTTAGAAGTAACAGCATTACATGTGATTGGTACACTAACCAAATATCACCACTGTCTACTGTCTATTGTAATCCTATATCTTTATCAGAATATGTGCAAACTCTAAAAATTGACTATATTTGTATCATAAATGATTTCTAGTACTGAGAAGATTGTGCATTACGGTGTCCATAAACATAAAGCACACTTTGGACGGATGTCTGTAATTCTTAGTTCTCTGCCTTTTAGGTCATTTTATAGCTACATGGGTATATTTAAACAGCAGCTCTGCCCAACACAAATGGCTCCAACCTTTCTGACATAGGATGAAATGTTGATACCTGGCTGTATTGTTAAGGTCCTGGCAGGGGGATGTTCCCTTAGATTCTCTCAGCAGGCATAACATGATTCACTTGGAGCAAGGCCTGTCCCAAATGCAGCATCAGAAGGAGAAGGTCCCCCTGTTGGGATCTCAAGAGATCCTTAACAACACAGTGAAAGACCATAGTCTGCATATATTATTCCAAAGTGGTGTAATCCATTTTAGGTATGACTGCTGTATGATAGTTAGTAGGTAGTCCAAAGCCAGATTGTATGGCAACCTGTTATAAGAGAAAAAAACAGGCTGCCATTGCTGACCTAAATACGTTAGTTGTCTGACTGTTAGGTCACTGACCTGAAACAAGTATGCAGATCCTGAGCCCTGACTTTACTTGCTGCATGCTCTTTCCAGATGATCAACTCTGAAAATACTGAAGTTAAAGGATCAGTACAAAAGCCAGGCTGATGGCAATTTTGGAATGTAAATATCATATAAATATCTCCAATGGCAGGTACCCAGACATCATACAATCTTTCAGATACCCAGACATCAGACAAAAAACAATGATTCAAGACCAAAAAATATACAGTATTTTTGATCTTTCACTACTGCAATTCATCAGAACCCCTATGACTTCTAGCACCGGCCAAATCTCTGGACTTTAGGTTGAAAACTTTCAACCCAGCCAATATACCTTAAATCAATTGAGATGTTTTGCAGAGTCACCTGCAGCAGTTTGAGTCTCACATTAATTGCCAGCCTGCTGCCTGAACCTGTCAAAACCCAAGAGAACTACTGATAGGTCTCTAATGTCTTTGGGAACCATGAGATTTAAGGGGTTGGGTGTATTGGCCACTCACTGTCAATGATGTCGGATAATCCTTGGGCACCAAGAAGTTCTCTCAGACGGGCCACCTCATCTTTAAGTTCACGGATAAGCTTGTTGTTTGGATCTTCATTAATAACAGCATTGCAGCGAATCTGTTTAGCACGGTCAGCATATCTGAAGTAAAAAACCAGCAAATGTTATATTCTAACCATAAAAAGTTTATTGTTGCTTGTGTCCACTGAAAAGAAATCTACAGCACAAAAGAAAATACTGCATTGATAAACACACCGTAAAAGTATTGGTGTGAAGGCCAACTTTAACAATGATTTCAGCCTTTTATTCAACAAGACTGAATATGACCTGCAATTGGCTGCATGATCATACAAGAGACCTCCTCTCTATTGACTTGTGTACTATTTGCTAGATGATATAATACATCTGTCTGTATCCATCGGAATGCATGTATAGGATTATGTCACGTATGCATATAATAGGAACAAAGAGGTACTTAATATCTGCAGTTGCAGACCATAGTCATAGCAGACCATGTGACTGCTAGAAGTCCCAGCAAATCTCAGGCCACTTATTACTTTATGAGGTAGCTATAGTATTTAGCAAATACATTTGAATAAAAGTCATGAAAATAAAGCTTGGAAACTTCCATACAATTTCTATACATAATTCAAATAGCATTCTAAACTGCTAGGATTGTTGGGATCAATAATCCATCAAACTAAACTTATTGTGAGTCAGAGACTGGGAGTCAGAGACTGGGAGTCAAAGTTGGGATTCAGAAGTCAGTGTCAGCAGTCAGAATCACTATACTTTTTAAACTATACCCCCTCTCCCTCAGTTCGCCTCCTCGCTCCCTTTTCTGTTGCGTTTCATATTTCCTTTTAAAATGTCTCATCATACTTAATATAACTTTCTAACATATAAGTCGTATTCAACAGCATCATTACTATATTTTAACATAAAAAACACAAAGTTTTCAATAACGTGGAGCCCCCACGGGCCCAACAGTCATGATTGCTAAGCACATTGTCATTATATGTGAACATAAGCAATTTTATAGCTGGATTCAAGGTCATGATGAAGCGGGTTTCCTGCGAAATTATATTATACAGAAAATGTAAAAACTGACATAATACTATGACACCAATAACAATTGTGATACAAATTGAAATTTCTTGTGCCAGAATCCACGATTCCCAAAATATTGATAAAAAATGTTGAGGGCTACAATCCATGATCTTTTGTGTATGTGTGAATGGAATAAACAAATTTCTCACCGGAGGGTGCTGAGGGTCTCATCATAGTTGATATCTGCAGGACTTAAAGCAGCTACCATAGCAGTTCGGGAGTTTCCACCTGCCAAACAGATGTTGCAATTAGTGACCTCCAAAAAAAACACTTTTCATTGCTGTATTCTAAATTGAAAGGATTTTAGTGTTAAATTAGTGGCCTCTGCTTTAAAGCTCCCTGGGAGAGATTTACAGAGCCACATATGGCCTTTTTCTCACCATTTCTGAATGTTGGTCTTCAAATAGTGAGAACTGTGAAAACTGTGAATAGCATAAAATCACTTTGCACACTCATAATGACCCATATGAACATAAATGACAATAGTAGTTGTTTACTTTTTGTGAACTCAGATCATAATTATGTAAACTGTGCACTTTGTAGGTGCAAGCCTATTTTCCTAGGGCATGTGTATACCATATCTATCACTTTTCCTTCTAACAGTGTTTATTAAAACCTAGAAACAATGTTACCACAGTATAAATGTCATAGCTCCCAACTGTCCCTGATTTCTAGGGACTGTCCCCGATTTGAAACAAAGTCCCTCATTCCTCCTCATTTGTCCCTCATTTTGGTCTGATCTTAAAGTTGTATATAAAATGCACTTTTTATTTTCAAAAGTGTTTTCCAGTGCTAAACCTTTCATCCAATTTCTAAATTGCTGCATTTGTAAGTTTCAAAAGCCAGTGAAAAGGAATAGTAGTGGTAAAAAAAGCACTTGTGGGTTTAACTAATCTTTTTTTTTAATAATTCTCCTTTAAGGGGGCATGGCAGGGATGTTTCCTATGGCTACATACTTTTGCTAATGGGTGTACCTCATTACCATCTCAAAAAGTTGGGAGCTATGTAAATGTGTATATAGGACACACTGCCAAAAGTGTGAATTAAGTTTACCTAACAGTTTGCCACATGTAAAGGTGCACACAAATAAATAGATAAACAACAGCAGAAAATACCACTAATGTCCAGTCAATCAGAAAGTCCCATTCAAATAATTGTTGCTTAAAAACCAAAACAGTTGCTAGTGCCATAAGTAACAGATTAACTTTAAGGTGCTCCAGGTGACCCCACATGGATTTAAACTCACCACAATGGATGGACCTTCTATTATTAGATAGGTTTCACTTCGCTTTTTTGCTTGGACCCCCCATTTTATCTCATTGCCAACTTGACCATTCATATATATACTAGGATGCGATTTCTTCCAATGCAATACATTGTCACTCAAAAAACAGTATCAGGAAAAAAGTTCATTGCGCAAAGCAGCTGACTTTATTAAACCATATATAGCCTTACAATTACATTGCACTCACATGTGTATGTGCCTAAGGACCGGCACCAGGTACATACAGCGTTTATGGTTAAGATGGCTGCTGCCGCCACAAGACTGGAAACTGGCTTGTACTCCAGGGATGGGATGTGACGTATTGGCTGGGGAACACTGCCTCAACTAGTTTTGTCTGTAATTGGGCATATTCAGGGCTTCCTGAAGTTGGTGATGAGATGCACAGTGGGTTCAACCAAAAAAGCACAGTGAGACCTATCTAGCAATCAAAGGTCCATCCATTGGGGTGAGTAAATCCATGTGGGGTCACCTGGGAGTGGTCACCTGTTTATCTGTTACTAGTGGCACCAGCACCTGTTTACCAATCTTTTGGTTTTTAGGCAACGATTATTTGAATGGAACTTACTGATACATTGGACATTAGTGGTATTTCCTGGTGTTGTTTATTTATCTATTTTTGTGCACCTTTACATGTGGCAAACTGTTTAGTAACCTTGATTCACATTTTTGGCAGTGTGGTCTATATACCCATCCTTATTTTTGGTTACTTTAGGTTTTGCCTCTGGAACAGTTTTCATTGTTAAATGTTGCCACAGTGTGCATATGTGCTAGACGTGGTTACATGTGCATGGTTTCACTGGCAAGCACATTGCAAAGCAGCTACACTATGAAGCCAGTGCTTATACAGCTCAATGAATTTTATAGACAGTATGTAGGTAGGCATTCAGGCTGCACTGAGAGCAGATGAGACCTGCAGTCTCCTATATACAACAAAAGTACACATACCCTAATGTAGCATTAACCCCAAAAACAAAATATTTATTATATTGCAGCTCACCATTCCTTAGATGTGATAGATGGATTCATTCATTTTCTTTTTTTAGGCTTTCTTTTTTCTATTTTCACTTGGTGATCCAGCAAGTGTCATTCTTTTTTCAAAAGAATAAGCTCTCCAGCAGAACGTATAATTTATAATTTATAGAGATGAGACAAACAATTTAACACTAGCAGCGGTGTTTACAATGATCAACTTTACTCATGTAAAACCTTCATCCTAAAAGGATCAAAACTTGCTGTAAATGCTTTTAAAGTGTAAGCTGGAATTTGGCTTCAATCAGTGTATTTAAATCTGTAGTCCAGCTAGTACTCACCGCCCCTAGTCTAACAATGCTGCTGTCCATAGGTGCCCCTGTGCTTCTTCATCCAGAGTAGGGGCACACTAATACAAGAGGTTTGTTACTTGACCAGATCACCAGGTGAAAACATAGGCTAAAAGGCCTTGAAAAAAAAAAAAAAACTGATGCAGCACCACATCTAATGATTGGTAAGATGCAATATATACATTTTTTTTGTTTTGGGTTTCAAACTGCTTTAAACTTTTTTGTAAAAAGGTTACACCTCTTACTTACTTCCCTTGTAACCAACAGCTGGATTCTTTTCTAACTATTTTATACGCATGGCATAATTGAGAGCCTGATACCTGTTAATAAAGATGTACTGGGCAATATCTCCACTTATTTTGCCATTATTCTGCGAAGGGATATTAATCCAGAAAAATGTAAATTAACATTTTTACATTTTACATTTAACAATTTTTCATTTTTTTTTTTCACCTTTAATTTATTCAACAAACCTGTCATTTTAAGGTTTAGTTTTAATTTTTCTTAGCATTTTAAAAATCTCCCTGTGCTTTTCTGCCTTTATTTACAATGATTTCTGTTCTCAAAATGTGACTTCATAAACTCACAGCACTTAAAAACACTTTATATAATACACCAAGCTATAACATATTTATAGATGTGTAAAACTGGATTTTTGTACTCACCATAAAATCTATTTCTTGGAGTCCACTGAGGGACTGGACTCTGGCAAATTAAAAAACTGTAGGATAAACCCTCTTACTACCATCATGCTTCAGTTTTGTAGCAAAGTAGTACCAACAGAATGATCATAAACACAAAGCGGTGGGCCTTGTGCCCCTCAAGGAACTCCAAAAAATGTGTGTATATATTTAAAAAAATATTATAAATACCTTTTTAACCTTTCTTATAAGTGATTACATAACCTCTGTTCTCAGGTGCAAAAGAGCTGGTGGTGGGCATTATAGAGGGTATGTTAGGGAAAAGCACAGAAAGAGCAGCATACTGATCTTCCCAGTGAACGGCTGTGCGGGGGAGGGGTATTGGCTGTCAGCACAATTCTTGAACATTTTAAGACAGGCAGCCTGTTTACCCAGGAGAGCCAGAAAACTGACCGTGCTGGGATGGGCGTGCATCTATGCCTAGTGTGGTCAATTTGAAATCGGAAAGCAGGGGGACTGGCAGGATTACCAGGTATTTCACACAAAGAGACCGGGATACTTTTTATCTCAAGTACATGGTAAAACAGACACATATGAGGATATGAAATGTTGGGGTAACATATTCTCTAAACCATCAGAACATGCAAAAGCAGTTCAACTAACAGGCCCAAGAAACAGGGACTGCCTACAGCTAGGGATGAGCTGAATGCCCCTGGATTCGGTGTGAAGCAGGTTTGGTGAAGATTACAGAAGTTCGGGTGCCAAACTAGAAACAAACACAAAAATATCCCATGATGTACCATGCAAGCCAATCATTAGGATTGGATTATGTTGGAGGTTAGTCCTTTTTTTTGCCAAGCATGTGGCCTGTTATGGTTAAAGATGAGGGGGGGGGGGGGTGACACATGGTCTGCCAGATTGGATGCTCATAAAAGGGTCTGGTGAGGATTTCTGAGGTGAACCCATACTGTTTTTTTGTGGTTAATTTTTTTGCTTGGGGTCCTCATTCAAACTCATACCAGACCTGAAGGGCCTTGCATAAATTATGGAGGGAACCCCACACAATGTTTTTGTAAACTATCCTAGCTGCTTTGCTTACTTGGCGGGGATTCCTGGCCAGTAAATTTATGGGGCCTGGATGATATGACTGGTTAAGGACACAGTGGGTACTGGTACCCACCTCTTTTTTAACAACCCTGACAATGGAAGAGGGAAACTGTCATATAAAGTATAATGACAGGAGAAAAACCTGCTACTATTTATGATGTTTGGCTCCTGCTGAATGGAATGAAAGTACAACATTCAGACAAGACAAGCAATGTTCAGCCTGAAACTGTGTTCAGACTGAAAAAGGTGCTCATCCCTAGTGGCAGGGAAAGCCAAAAAACCCAAGAAGTATTCACAGATCTAGTAGCGTGCACCTTGCAAGGGAAAGGGGGACAGGACCCTAGGAACCATGAGCTACAGCCATCTGCTCTATGCATTCTATAAGGAATGGATCACCCAAAGCAGCGATAAGATCTCTTTTTTTACCAGTCACACGTGGTTTGACAGACAGAATGAGATTAAGGGCAGAACCCACCAGACAGAACAAGGCTCTAGAAAGGGCTTCCAACCACCTATCAGCTGGGTCCCAAGGACAGGCATGTCCTCTACACGAAAAGTAAGTGCTGAATCCACAGTAGGAATAGACAGTTATTGCACAAAATCCTCACCAAGGTTAATAAGCATTAAAAGGGGAGCATACAGTTTAATAGAATGTTTACAGCCCCATACATAAATAGTTGGTATAGCAGGTGCAAAAGGAAGGTCTTTGTGGCATCAGAAGTTTTACACCACCCAAGACTGGAAACAGTAGTGGTAGAAGCAACAGGATGATCCTTCATAGAGGTAAGCACTGCATCAGTTAGTCCAAATTGTCTCCTTTAACCACTTTTTGTCCATACATGAACCCATACGTCCTCGGGTTAAGGCGGTTATATTGGGACCAGGGCTGTAGCTGCAATCATGACCATGGTATCTTTCTTTTTCAGCCAGAGATGCTCTTTCATGTAAAGGCGATTCTAGGGGCTACATATTCCCTGGATTGCTTTTACATGTTGAGAAAAATGCTCCCCCACCACCTTCTACTTCCTTTCCAGGCTGTCCTGTTCCACTGGGGAGCCCAGGACTCAAGTCGGCGGATCTGCTGGCTTAGCATTTGAATGACCGAGGACTGGAAGTTCCCCAATCATCTATATGGTCTGGATTTGTCACTTCCAGTTTCGCTCAGATGTAAATATTCAAAATTCAGTTGGTTCAGCAGAGACCAGATAAATTTCGATCCATGTCTAGAGCCTCCTGCTCGTCAGAAGTCTATCCACCTTGATTGTGTGGATGGAGGGAACTGTTTGGTTATTTTTTGTTCAGCCCATTGGTTGAGTGAAATAATGGTACATCTATGTCCAGCCTTACACAGCAGACTTGAAGAAAAGGTGTCTATTCACCTAGCACACTAGCAAAAAAAAAAAAAAAAATAGGCATGCTGGTAGTAGGAGGGGTTATCCTGAATTGACCTACAATTTTTCTTTGACAGTGTTCAATCCTCCTGTAGGTGGCAGCATAACCCAAATTTTAAATAAAAGCATTTATACTCCCATAGACTGATTCTTATAGCATCATACATATTAATAGAAGACAAAATACTTTCCTGTATTCATACTACCCTTATCTCTTTATGTAATTTTTTTATTGTATTAAACAAAACACTATAATTTAATGAAAATACATTATACTCTTTGTATGCAACACCTTAAAATTCCCACTGAAATAGGTTGTATGATATGATAAAATATTGGGACGTGGTGTAAAACAGAGAAAAGCCTTAGTGGTATGAATAGTTATATAGTTTACAGTGCTTGCCTCAGTGTTTAATATCTATAGGGTTGCTGGAAGCTAAGTAAGCAAAGGATAGATTTACAATTAGATGAAAATGATAACACATCTGTTCAAATGCAATAACAGATCTTAAAATGAATGTGATTCTAAAGGTTTAACAAACATGTCAATACTTACCTGCTGTGTGCAGTGGTTTTGCACAAAGTAGCTTGGATCCTCCTCTTCTCAGGTCCCCCTCCGGCTCTCCTGGCCCCTCTATCCTGTCAGATGCCCCCACAACAAGCAGCTTGCTATGGGGGCACCCGCTGCTCCGTGTGTTCATTCACACACAGAGCCATGGCTCGGCCTCGCCCCCTCTCTCCAGTGCAGATCGCTGAATCAATTAGGGGATTAGGTGAGCATTAGGGGGAGCTGGGGTTGGGAGGGGGGGGGGGTGGTGCATGCAGAAGGTTTTTTACCTTCATGCATAGAATACATGAAGGTAAAAAACCTTGAACCTTTAGAACCACTTTAACTCTTCACAGAACAGCGTGTGAACTGCTGTCTCTTCAGCTTCACTTGCCCAGTAGATGATTCATTCTGCGATACAGCATATGTATGTGGGAATAGACAGACTGTTGATTCTTTGTCTTCATTATAAATGAGGGAACTTTTGTTTTTCATTACATCATCTCAGTCCAGTTTCATTTAAAACCTGACAAGTATGTTGCCAGTTTATGATAACTGAAATACCAAAAATGCATTGAATGAGGTGAAAACAAGATAAAACAACTCTGCTGCATTTGAAACCCCTACAGATGCCCCCCTTGAAATGATGGATTGCCAGATTTTCTTGTTCTTTTATAGACAGGTCCAAAGTATTGTCATCAGCTGCTGTTTAAAACATAAAGGGGGAAATATAAAAAAAATATTACCCAGGTTCTCTCTTAAAAGCCAGGTGAGTACAGAGTCTCTGTATGGAATAAAATCATTCTTCTTCTTTTTCTTATTCTGAGTAGAACATAAACAAGACATTCATAAGGAGAATATTTAACATTTTAGAAAAATACAAAAATAGAGCAATTTTCATTGTCCCCACATTCACCTTGTCACCTTCTACTATTTAATTTTCACTTAATTTTTTTTTCATCAAGCAACAAAGCAGGCAGATCACCTCTACAGTATAACCTCCTTCCTTTACATATGTTTTGCATTTATAAAACAAGAACAATTTTTCCCAAAGATAATTTAGAAATAAAAGCACTTATGGCACAGAACTTCTAAGCTTTTCCTTATCGCATAATTCCAAGAGTGAAATTTAGAGTTTAGCCCTGAAATGTCTGTGAAATACAGAAGAATTTGATGAAATTAAAGCGGATCTTCAACCTTGAAAACAACTTTTCTCCTCTTGGTCATTCCCCCTTCCCTTTATTACACAAATAGCTGATCACCTAGACTAATGACATCAATGCCTCCTGGGTTATCTGACATGCACTGGGAGCACTCAGGTCATTCCATGCAGTAAAGTAGGAGGGGGTGAGCCTAGCGGCCTGAACCTGGAAGAGCCAGCAGCCTCCCAATGATGTCACAGGAGAAGATGGCAGCGTGGGATCCAAGCGCTGATTGTGGAAAAAAGAACCTCAGCAGGACAATGCTGGAACTGCTGGATGGGTAAGTATCTGAACTGAGGATAACCCAGCATCAGGTAAACAGGGAGAAAAAAAATAATACGGGGAAGGTTGAAGATCCAGTTTAGGGACATTTTGTTGTTTTTTTTACGAATGCAATGGACTTTCTTTCAATGGTGTTTATTTATAGGTTGCACAACTGATATATCAAGAAAGGGTGCTACAATCCAATAAACAGACACTGCAGGTCTAGTGTATCAGACCCATCATTAAGGCAGAATTATACAACCAATCAATCAGAAACCAACCATTTTCAAATATGGGGACAATTACGGGAAGGGGTAGAAAGGGAAGAAAAAAAAATAGGGGGAATAGGGGAGGGATAGGGGAGAGAGGGGTGGAGCCAGGAGTTGAGTGCCACAGGGTTGTTCAGAACATATATTGATCTATCTCATGGGACAGAGTAAGTTGCAGAGATCAAACAAGCATTGATCAAAGTTCACCTGGAAAAAAACAGCAGATCAAGGGGTCCCAAATCGTCTTAAATTTGGGCATTGAATCTGTAAGTTATGCAGTCATGTTTTCATTTGACAATGTATTGTGCATTCATCAAAGTTCACCTGTAAACAAGAGACCCAGGGGATTTCCCCATTTGGACATTGAGTCTGTAAGTTATGCCCATGATTTGACAATGTATTGTGCATTCATCAAAGTTCACCTGTAAACAAGAGACCCAGGGGGATTTCCCTAAATTTGACATCTGTAAGTTATGCAGTCATGTTTTCATTTGACAATGTATTGTGCATTCATCAAAGTTCACCTGTAAACAAGAGACCCAGGGGTCCCAGATTTCCCTAAATTTGGACATTGAAACTGTAAGTTATGCTGTCATGCTGTCATGTTTTCATTTGAAAATGTATTGTGCATTATTTTCCTAACTTTAGGTAGATAGAGAGTGGTGGATAACCAAGGTTTTGCAATTGTTTGTTTAGTTGCTGTCAGGAGTGCAATGGACTTTAATTGTCACCTAGAGGTTGCAGAGGCTTCTTTTAACTATCCTGGACCAGCATCAAACAACAGCTCCCTTTAACCTCATTATGTTACTCTTGTTTAGAGACAGAAAAAAGAAAATTTTGAAAAAAAAAAGTAAAGCCACAATGCAGGAAATTTTACATAGGCAGCTCAATAAGCGAAGTTGAGAGTAGTAGTTGAGAGTAAATTAGTTGTGTTTAAATTACTGCTCATAGCTATTCCCTATATATACTTTATTCATCTTTGAAAGTATCATAAACATTTACATAAATTTAGATGAGTAAACCCACCTTATTGGTTCCAGAATCCTGAATGGAAAAAACAGAAAAGAAAAGACAAGTCAGCTAATACATTACAGATACACAGTATATAGATTACAGGCATAATATTCTGGAGGAGTTGAAAGGATTTACACTAAGCATCAAAGATACTGTGCCTGTCATAGGAGGTTGAAATGTTAAGAGAAAGCTTTATTGTTGAGAGTCCTGAGCACTGTCACGTTGCATGACAAGGCAGTGTTTATTCCTACCTCCTCTTAGCCACCTCACCACTGATAGACAGTGAGGTTGATTTACTAAAGGCAAATAGACTGTGCACTTTGCCAGTGCAGTTGTACTCATTTTCCTTAGTAATTGTGATGTGGTAAAACCTCACTTTGGAAAGAATACCCGATAGGCGCAAGGAAAATAATTAAAAAAAAAAATTTAATTTTTTTTTTTTTTTTTGCATTAATGCATTCTCTGCATTAGGTAAAAATAATCCCACTACTTGTTCCCCCCAACATTACCAGCAGCCTCTCATGATCCAGCTTTCTCCTGTCTTCAGCACTTCACCTTTCACTTCCTGGTCTCACAGGAGACTCTGAGAGCAGCGGGAGCCATAGGCTCTTGCTGCTGTCAGTCAAATTCTGTGAGGAGGGAGCAGGGGGCATGGCCGCATCGTGCTGTGTGTGTCTATGGAAGCACACAGCCCCACTCAGGAGCGCACCCATCTGGGTGCACTATCAGCACACCGCTTGCTGAAGGGAAATTTGTGAGAACAAGGAGTGGATAGTGCCAGCAGGGGACTGCAGAAGAGGAGGTAAAAAAATGCTCCGTGCAATACCATTACAAAGAGCAGGTAAGTATAACATCTTTTGTATTTTAATTTTAAAAAATTGCCTTTACAAATCGCTTTATTGCCAATTTAACATCTTCATTCTGGCACCATTATCATCTGTCCCAGACTCTATTGCTCCATGAGATGGGATTATGTAATTAGAACAGAGCTTTTTATTAAAGTGGAAAGCAAAAGCCCTTTTGATTGGCTCTGCAGAGGCAGATGAGATGGAAGGACTCCTATCCACTCCATAGTACCTTGGAATAGACCTACTTCAGTAGCAGAGCGCTCAAAGCATACATAAAGCACACAAAAATAGATTCACCAGAACACTTTAGTATTGTGCCAGGCTTAGATTTTTCACAAAAATATAAAATAATGATCTGACAAATTATATTGCAGCTGGTTTATTTTTTCTTATGCTAAAAAATTGAGTTCCTAATTGGTTGATATAAGCTACAATTCCATTTTTCCAGGTTAGTGTTTATAGATCAGTCTTTGCATTCTTTAGATGTAAATTCAGACACAGCCATATTCATTATTTCAATGTTGACAGTATTGGTTTGGTCAAGATGGACATGGCTGTGTTGTTATTTGTCTGGCATTAATATAAAGAGGCACTCACCATTTCAGCAAGAGCAGAGATAACCTTTCCCAGAGTTGTTAGAGACTTGTTGATATTTGCTCCTTCCTAAATGAGGAAAAGATGAACAGTTGAAATTATAGGGAATCTATAAAGGATTTGAGTCAGTATTTTTTATTAGGTTTATATGCTATAATATTTCTGTTACAGATACATATACATTTACAATTACATTTATTCTATGACAAAGGAGTCCCAGAATACTATGAGATTTCTAATAGCACAAAGCAAAACTGCCTGCCTTCAAGCTCACTCTGTATAATTGAAACCTCAGATTAAGCTATTCTAAGAGAAGGGGGAAGTGAGGGATGAATCGCATATTTGCTTCTGTGTTAATGTGACTTTTACCTCTGACCATAACAAAAAAAAAGGAATATTCAAAATTGATATGTGTCGTTATTAACTTTATACATATGTTTTAGCAAGTAGCATGCAGTGAGTGAATTTCAGGCACTACAGCAATGACTGTGTCACAAACTGAATTATTGAGTAGGTGGGCTGTCCTCTCCCTCTGCATCTAAAACTATGCAGGAACAGCCGTTTACATTTTGGATCGGTAACATCGGCCATTTTTAATGGATAATTTCACCTTTATGGAACATGTTACATCAGTTTTTAGGGTGGAACATGTAACATGTTCCCATAGCCGCAGCTGCAGCCCCCCCCCCCCCTCTGACAGATAGTACAAGGAGAAGTCTCCCCATACTATCTGTCAAATTTGAAAACAGCGTGGCAATGTGGGGCAGACGTCTGTGAATTAATGAACTGCAGTCTCGGCAGCCTTAGCGGCTGTGGGCTTGTAGTTTTCAATGAACTACTACCATACTGTGGAGTTCATTGAAGCTGCCTGTCAGAACATTTGCTTGACTGTACATCCCGTATGGCAAGCATATATTCTGACAGGTCTGCAGGAGACCTGCATGGCAACAGCGATCTACTGATCAGTGGTGCAATGCTTTCCAGGCTCAAGTAGACAAAAGTAATAAATGCACATTTTACCTGCAAAAAAATGTGCATTTATTATTTTTGCCTAAAAGGTGAACTTATCCTTTAACACTAGTCAAATCTTCCAAGTCTTGCTAAGCATTTAATTGTAAATCCACACATTAATAATTTTAATAGAGGAATGGAATGTCACCTTTAGTCTTGTCCCTTTTGCACCAGTGGAATCTGCTCTTTCACTTCCTGCAAGGTCCACAAGACTGATTTTGCTGACCTGTAAGAAAAAAATACAAATAAATCATTATCCAATTTCTCCCACAACTTCAATGTCAGTTGGGCTGATTTTCTGCGAAAAAAATATTTAAATTATAAAATAAAATAACAGCATGAATTTGTGGTTATAATTAGGATTTACAGTGCCTTGAAAAAGTATTCATACCCCAGGAAACTTTCCACATTTTGTCATGTTACAACCAAAAATGTAAATGTATTTTATTGGGATTTTATGTGATAGATCAACGCAAAGTGGCAGGTGCTGTGAATGGAACGGAGGCCGGGTTGCAACACGTTTCAGAAGCTCCACCTCCTTTGTCAAACAAGACTTGACAAAGGAAGTGGAGCTTCTGAAACGTGTTACAGCCCACCCTCCATTCCATTCACAGCACCTGTTACTTCTCCCTACTACCAACAGGAAGGCATTCAGAGACGCCATTCATCCATATCTCCTCCCGGGTCATGCATATATTTAACTGGATCTGCTTCTTTAATGTCCCTGGCTCTGGTGTCTTTCATCTGCCACACTCGCTGAGGGATTTTAAGATGTACATTTCTTTATAATAAAATACTATTGCTTTTATCTACACTTACCTGGCATCGTGCTTGTCGTTTGTTTGCATAATTAGTAAATAGAGCCTACCTGTGTGTAATTTAATCTCGGTATAAATACAGCTGTTCTGAAACCCTCAGAGGTTTGTTAGAGAACATTAGTGAACAAACTGCATCATGAAGGCCAAGGAACACACCAGCAGGTCAGGGATAAAGTTGTGGAGAAGTTTAAAGCAGAGTTAGGTCATAAAAAAATATTCCAAGCTTTGAACATCTCACAGAGCACTGTTCAATTCATCATTCAAAAATGTAAAGAGTATGGCACAACTGTAAACCTACCAAGAGGCCCATGGTAACTCTGGAGGAGCTGCAGAGATCCACAGCTCAGGTGGAAGAATCTGTCCACAGGACAACTATTAGTCGTGCACTCCTCAAATCTGGCCTTTATGGAAGAGTGGCAAGAAGAAAGCCATTGTTGAAAGAAAGCCATAAGAAGTCCAGTTTGCAGTTGGCAAGAAGCCATGCGGGGGACACAGCAAACATTGGAAGAAGTTGCTCTTGTCAGATGAGACCAAACTTGAACTTTTCGGCCTAAAAGCAAAATGCTATGTGGAAGACAACTAACACTGCACATCACCCTGAACACATCATCCCCACCGTGAAACATGGTGGTGGCAGCATCATGTTGTGGGGATGCTTTTCTTCAGAAAGGAACAGGGAAACTGGTCCAAGTTGATGGGAAAAAGGATGGAGCCAAATACAAAGCAATGTTAGAAGAAAACCTGTTAGAGTCTGCAAAAGACTTGAGACAAGGCGGAGGTTCACCTTTCAGCAGGATAATGACCCCAAACATACAGCCAGAGCTACAATGGAATGGCTTAGACCAGGGTTTCTCAACCAGGCTTTCGTGTAACCTTAGGGTTTCTCCAGAGGTTGCCAGGGGTTCCTTGAGCAATGAACAGTTTTTGCCTCTCAGGTAGGTTCCCACTGACACCATTGATCTTTATAGCAATCTGTAAGGTGGTAATTCTTCCTAATGACCACAAGTGTAAGGAGCTTTCTTACCTCTGACTATCACACTAATGTATCATGAATTGTAGATAAATTAATTTTTCGCAGGGGTTCCCTGAGACCGGAAAGTTATGTCAAGGGTTCCTCTGCATTGAAATGGTTGAGAAAGGCTGGTTTAGATCAAAGCATATTCATGTGTTAGAATAGCCCAGTCAAAGTCCAGACCTATATCCAATTGAGAATCTGTGGCAATACTTGAAAATTGCTGTTCACAGACACTCTCCATCCAATCTGACAGAGTTTGAGCTAATTTGTAAAGAAGAATGGACAAATATTTCACTCTCTAGATGTGCAAAGCCGGTAGAGACATCCCCAAAAAGACTTGCAGCTTTAATTGCAGCAACATTTGGTTCTACAAAGTATTGACTCAGGGGGGCTGAATAAAAATGCATGCCACAATTTTTAGATATTTATTTGTAAAAAGGTTTGAAAACCATTTATCATTTTCCTTCCACTTCACAATTATGTGCCACTTTGTGTTGGTCTATGACATAAAATTCCAATAAAATACATTTACGTTTTTGGTTGTAACATGACAAAATGTAGAAAATGTCAAGGGGTAAGAATACGTTTTCAAGGCACTGTATAACAGTTGATATAAGGTGATATAATCACTATGCAGTAGAACCCAAAAATGTGTCTTTTACAATATAGCTCAGCCTTTCTCAACCTTTTCAACACAGAGGAACCCTTTAAATAACTTTCCAGCGTCAGGGAACCCCTGCTAAAAATTCCTATATCTACAACTCATGATACGTAAGTGTGATGGTCAGTGGGAAGAATCCTCCTTACACTTGTGGTCACTGGGAAGAATTACTTCCTTACAGATAGCTAAAAAAAACAATGGTGTCAGTGGGAACCTTTCCAAAAGGCTGAAATTGCTCATTGCTCAAGGAACCTCTAGCAATCTCTGGAGGAACCCTGGTTGAAAAAGTTTGATATAGCTAGTAGAAAAAAGTATTTGATTGAAATTAGTTATTTTTCTAATAAATAATTTAAGGTACCATGGGAAAGCTTTTGTCCATGATCTTATTTGCTTACAGGATTGGCAGTGGATGGATAATTTAAAAAAATATTTTTACATAACAAAACACAAGGCCCAACAACTAACCTGAGCCTAACAGCCTGGTACAACGAAAAATGTGTGCTGGGCTCCCCATGACTGTAGGGTCAGACAGTAGTAAAAACTTGACAAAGGGTCTAACTCTTTACCACTAAAATAAGCAATTTAATTAATTCACAATCCCTGACCTGCCCAAGCAGCAATCATTGTTTATGAAAGTGTTGAAAAGTGTAAAGCTAAATTTGAAAGCCAGGGAATCTATGTAAAGTGAAATGTTTTTAATTCTGAAAAAAAAGAAAATATCAAAACCATTAAAACCCATTATGTTTTGTAGTCATTTCTTTCACAATAAAAATATAAACTGTGGTTTTCTTGACAGCAAATATTTTTGATTTTTAGTATGTGCATGTCCAGATCGATAGTGGTGTCCAAATCTTTGCTATGGGTCACCTTTTACTGTTTGAGGACTAATAATATTTCTGTATAGCCTGCAGGTGTCACTGCTGTAACAGATGTTCATAACACAACTGTAGTCTGTGGTAAGGAGATCTCCATAGAAACAACATAAAATGTGTAAATTAGGTGAATGAGAACATACAGTACAATTACAGTCACCTACAGCCAATTAGGACGGCTGAAGACCAGCACCAGCAGAAGCAGGGGAGAGAATGCTAGGATTGGCAAGGGACCTCGTGGACATCAGACCACTGGACCATATGTAGGTAGGTGCGGTGTGTTTCCTCCACCGTAAGTGGCGCTCAACTGGAACGGTACCAGAGGCGGAGGAGAAGTCAGGAGAAACATTGTTTATGGTTTCCGGGTCCCCTGAGGCAGCGTTCTGGTTGGCTACACTGCACCCATGGGTCAGTAGTCTTTTTAAAGTTTCTGCCCCAAGGTTTTGTTGCAAATTTTGCAAAGAGAATGGGAGAGGGAAAGAGCACCCATCTGTCAGGGAAAGTGATAGTGGCAGGGAGAGATTCCTGAGGAGGAGGGACAGAATAGGGATTCCTTGATGAAGTCACATGACTGGATGATGCAACACATTCGAAAGAGCTGGTCATGTCACGCCACAAAACCGGAAGTGTACGGTCAGCCATTTTGTTGGTTGTTTATCTCAATACATGCCTAT